AGTCCTTTTAACAAAATAATTCAACATTCATGCAAAAATGATGTACCTGGACATGGTCAAAGATAATACAGCATGTAATGACATATCGAAGTTGTATTCCTACTTGAATTGTCTTTCCTCTTTCAACGGATACAATGGATTCAGTCGCTGTAGTCAAACAATGAACTGTCTAACTGTTCATAAAAATGAAATGATGCCATCAATGTGACCAAGTATATCAACATACAGGACATAAAATACATTAAAAAAAAACTGGTCAAGGCACTGTGGCTCTGAGGCAGCACTGTGTTCTAAGGAAAGACTCACTGATATGACAGTTAATAATTCACTCTTGATAACTGAGCACAGAAAGACTTACTAGAGTGACTGAGCCAGTAATTAAGAGTTACTGCATTTTGAACAGGTGAGGGATGGTGGTCAGGAACATAAACTTAGACAGATAATGTGTGAAACAAACCCATGTTACGGTCCAAGTGGTCAAAATGAAGGAAGAGAAGAGTCACTTTTTGTGTCTGTTCTGTCAGGTCTCTCATTGTTTTTTTCCCATCCCTTGGCTGATATGTTGTAGCCACTCCATCAACATCTGAAAGGTTGGTCGAGCAGCAGGATCCAGGTTCCAGCACTGTTTCATGATGTTATACACCACTTCAGGACAGCCATCTGGACAATCCATCTTGTATCCCTTCTCCACTCGAGGCACGACGTCTTTTAATGGCTAGAGAATGGATGAGAGTTGTTGGTAGAAAGAGAATGCATTAAAGAATATATACAGTACTTTTTCATCAATATTTGAATTTTTGTCTTTTTTAAAAATAACCCATTACTTAATTCTATGTATTGTACAATTTAAGCAGATAAATCATACATTCTCAAGTATTACTGCAATAGATATAATAGTCTAGACAATCTATCTGTATTTCTCTTTCCAAAAAGATACTGATACTTACAATTCTTGGGTAAGGCACTCGGCCAAAAGAGTAAATCTCCCAAAGCAAAATACCGTAGCTCCAAACGTCTGATTTGGTGGAAAATTTCTACGGATTAAGAGAAAAACATACAGGTAGAAGTTTATTTCCAGCACACTACTCGACATGGTAGAAGTCCTTGCAAACAACAGTGTACCTTTTCTCTCAGGGCCTCTGGTGATGTCCACTTTACAGGCAGTTTAGCGGTATCCTGAGTAGAGGAGGCCTCCTTGGTCAGACCAAAGTCACTGACTTTGGCCTTGTTGTCTTCTGACACAAGAACGTTGCGGGCTGCTAAGTCTCGGTGGACAAAGTTATTGGCCTCCAGGTACGCCATAGCTTCACATACGTCTCTGTAAAAGAACGAGAAAAGAAAGTTAAAAATCTTAAGGGAATCTCTCTTTAAACTCTTAATTCTTCGGGTCAAAAACATGCAGTACAAATGTCCTAGTGATCCAACAGAACATGGGCAATCTTACAGGGTATACTGTGGATGGTTTTGTGTGTCTCAACTACAATGCGTTTACCCATAAGACCTGACAAACAGGCTTAATGCATCTCCAACTTTGCAAATTCGCAATGCTGATTTGTTCTGTTACTGTTTGCGGCCTTTTACAGTTCATAACCATCACCGATTGCCAATATGTGGAATTGCATGAAACTGAGAGATACTGTAGCTGTTTGTGTATGTTTGGTCCATTTTTAAGACAGACCTACAGTATGTGCAAGTTTAATTTACAAACACATTAAGTATATGGACACACAAAACTCCACAGTCTACCTTTAATACATAATAAATACAGATACTGTATTAAAAGACAACTGCAGTCATACGCACAGTGTAAAATTAAGGAGAGCTTCTCCACCAAGTACTGTCCGGCCTCTCGAACGTAAGTAGTCAACCAAACACCCCTAAAGCAAACAAACAGACAAACATGTGACATCTTTACAACAGTACTCTGGGATGTTGACAAAATGATCCGACAGACAGTCTGCAACCTACCTTGGCCATGTACTCAGTAACTATAAACAGACTCCCATTCTCCTCTACAATCACACCAAGAAGCTGCACCAGGTTATCGTGCCGTAGTTGCCTGAAGAAGGAGAGGAGCGCAGAGACATGTTATTTGGTTTACATGTTACTTGTTTATTCATGTTTATTAAAAAAAAAAAAAAGTTGTGTAATTTTCCTTACGTCATGACAGAAGCCTCTGCAATAAAGGCCTGTGCTGTAGCATCATTTTTTATGCACTTCACAGCTACTTTAGTCCCTCTATAGTCCCCAACCATAACATCTGGAATGAACACAAACAATGCGATCAGGGGAATTCCCATTTATTTGACACTGAGCTGAAAATAGACATACATGTAACAGGAATAACACATTAATGGTTACTTTGTAATATCTGGAAAGAATTTGAATACTAGCCCGTCCTGTTAAGATTCTTTTAACTTTTTAACATTTAGCTCGTTATTCGCTGGTACAACAGCAACAACAAAAACCTGCACTTAAACCATACAGGACATAAGGAAATATTTTTCATTGTTAAAAGTTATTGACTAAGTATGTAAGTTTTTACCTATACTTGTTTACAAGGTGTGCTTTTTAAAGTAAAATCAGTCATGTTCCATTTTTATTTACATGTTCGTAATACATATCTGTATTATTGCACACGTAATCAATAAAATAAAATGATGTCACTTGTACTATGCAGTGTAAACTTAAAGGTTTCTATGTGAACGTGAAGCTACTTACCACCAAACTCCCCTTTTCCAATAACCTGCTGCAACTTGAGGTCCTTTCTGCTCATCGACCAACCACCTGTTGGCCATTTAAAGAGGAAAAAGCTGAATCATTACAGGCTCCCAGGCTCACTTCTTAAAAGGCTACAATGATGTAGTTGCATAAATAATTGTAAAGGAAACAAACAAACTGAGACTTACTCCTGGAAAACTCATCCTGGGCAGCCACTGTCCCCTCCTCCAGCTTTGGCTTTATAAGTTTGGTGCACAGGCCATCGGCATCTTTGGTGTAGTGCTACAAACAAAGCACAACCAGAAGATAAACAAAAGCAACATGAAAACAAAGAGGAAACACCATGTTAAGGGCTCCCCAAAGGCTGTATATACCCTTATAAACAGTGGTATAGTGCAGGGTATACGCAGATATACGTACACCCACTTCTACATCCCTACTGTTTAAAACACAGGACATCAATGCTTTCCTGGATGGGCCGCTTTAAAAGAACACTGGGGGCATAAATGAAGAGTATACCCACTTCTCCAAGCAACAATACACTACTGCTTATAAAAGAGCCCTTGGAAACACTAAAACCACCTTCACAACATCATTGGCTAAATGATTGTCAGGGACCCTCCACCTGGACAGTGGCTGACGGGTACAACTATAGGTTGACATTTTTTTCCCTCTCCTCTGTATCTACTTCTGATTTTCTGCTGTTTTGTCAGCTTGTGAACTCTTCACCATACTAACTTCTCGGTTGTTCTGTTTCCTGTTGTACTCCCGTTATTCTGTGGGAAATGTAAGCATACAACTGTACCAACTGTCTGAACATTAACAGGGCTTCAATAAAAATATATATGACAAACAATACGAGCATTAAAGTTCAGAAGCAATACAATTCTGAGCAGTGCTTCAAAATGGCCGATAGAGGGGTGTATAGTCAAATTAGCAAAAGATATGATGGACGACTGACAAGGCTTTCTCTTAAATAGGTCATACTGAACTTTATTCCTCCTAATCGTCTATTTGACTCTGTAGAATAAATAGTAAGCTTCTATTTAAAATAAGCGTGTCACACAGGAAAAGAAGTTTGAGAGTAAAAGACTGGTATCTTTGAGGTACTGTGAACCTCTGCATACTGTTCACTCTTCCTCTTTGACACTTCCTGTTCATTTGTTCCAGGAACTGTATGTGGTCTATGTGGTAGCACAGACGCGGGCACTCTAAAACAGGAAAACGCAACACACATACAGTAGACGGCAGCTCTTTATAGCACCAGAGCAAACACTAGAAAACACCTTGTTGTATTTATAAATTTATGTAATACCTCAACCAGTTGCATGAGGTTTTCAAAGTACCCCTCGTTATCAATAGTGAGCTGGCCGTTGTGGTAGATGATGCGGTAGTGCTCCACCTTGCCATCACAGCTCACACACAGAGTGTAGTCGCCGGGGAAGTTTGTGCTCTCTCGCACCAAGAACAGGCCCGTTTCAGGAGGGTAAAGCAACCGCTCTGCTTGGTCCCGCGTTATCTTCCCGTGAAACCATCTGGAAGTGAAAGAACCAGAGAGTTAACGGTGCATCCTGTACAACTCTGTCACCCACACTAATCTCATTCACTGTTAATTAACAAGACCTGTATAGTATCGGCTTTCACACCAATCCAGTCACTTATTTTTTTTTGGTTTGGTTTTATTTTGCATTTTCATTTTACACGTGTTGTCTCTTTCCTGTTTTTATGTTGTAATGCACCAAAAATACTTCATATGTAAGAAGCACTATTATTACATATATATTTTACTTTTCCGTGACATTTGAACAAGGCCTCACATTTGGAAACTGGCTCATGTGCTCCCTGAGTGCAAAAAGGTGGCGACAGCAGTGACCTTTACATTATCTTCAAATGTTTCTGTTCTTGCTAGTTGTTCTATGTGCTGGATTGTCATTTTGAGAATGAATGTTTTCTACAGTTAACGTCAAAATTCAAAATGACTATAGATGTTGGTTTCATTGTAATATTTCACTGGTTTGTACTTATGAGATTCATGTTTCTAATTTTTTCTGTAGTTGTGTAGTCAATATTATTTATATATATATATATATGTTTTCTGTGGACTAATTTTGAATTCTATTGGATAAGTTGAGAGGAATTATAATATATATATATAATTTTATATAATATATAATATTAATATATAATATATTTTATATTTTAATAATAGATCCCCCCCCCACATAACACAAACACTGTTCTGTAGAGGAGGTATTGAGCGACGTATAGATTACAGTAATTTGCATATGTACTGTGACCAGTTTTATTATGAGCGGATCACAGAATATACAGTAAATTCATTTGCATATGGCTCCATGAAATTACATTTAAATATGACAAAGAACGCCTTGTTAGGTTGTTTTGACTGAAACAGAAGCAACTTCGCTCTGACTTGTAGGAAGAGGATTTTCCTTTCTGTTCTGTATTTATAGGCACAACACTGCCTCCACTCAGTGGCCCCCTAGATCCACTTTGCCGTTCAACTCTGACATTCATTACAGGCAATATTCACAATAATGACAAGTGGAAGTATTGAAAAATGATAAGATCAGTTCCTCAACTTGTGTTTGTTCTGTTAACATTATTTGTTAGTTTAGCTGAAAACTAGGTGTTTCTGTACCAGAGAATGGATGCTCGGCAACACTATGAACATACATACACATACCAGCTGAGGATTTATGGTCAATTATGGGTAGCTCATATATGGTAGTGTCCTAATGGCTATATTTTGTCCATTATGTTTTCTTTTACCTTTCTTTGAATTCCTTTGGACACTGGTTGTTAGTCTAAGTGGGTATGTCTACATTAAGCCATACATGTTATAGTTTTGTGATCAAGAGCTCTATAAATAAACCATTGTCATTCATACACGAGCACATGCATGCACACTGAAACCCATCATGTGGTCGAACAGGGAGATTTTTGAGATTACTTGAAATTGAGATAGAAAAGAAACAACAGGAAATTGCTCACAAAAAGCTGAGCTGGAAACAGACACAAGTGCACTGCAATTACAACACAGCCCGACCCAACTGTGGTCTCCATTCACATAAGTACAGCGACACTGCCTCAACAAATAGGCTATCTGCCTACAGCAACCACAGAGCCATAGGAAGAGGGCACAGTCGAGCTATTTTAGCCATTGCTGCAGACAAAACATAAAGCTGGTAGGGGGGGCAAACGTTGAGATATAGACAGCAGATACATAAACCTAATCCTGTTTTAAAGTGAAAGGTTAACAGCATCAGAACTAATTAAAGCACGATAACTGTATACTCACGGCATTAGACTCAGCTTGCCTCCAGATTTCACACCTTCCCTTTTCTGAACATAGTTGGCTGGAATTGTTCCCTCGCGACCTGCAGAATTTTTTGCTTTGTACCAGTTTGGATCCTGCAACAGAAAATGACAGAAATTGTGAAACTGTTTTGTATCAGTCACAGTATCATCACATACTGCACCACAAGTCAGACTCCATCTTCATAGGAACATAAACTAGGCCAGAAATGTAGCTTATGAAACGTTACCTTTGTGACGACAATAATAGTCAACACATCCCCTTTGTTAAAAGGCAGGTCCTGTTCTGATGTGCCTTTGAAGTTGTACCTGGCCACACACTCTGTGCCCTGTGGCCATGGAGTCTATGGGAACATGGGCAGATCACTAATCAGTGAACAGATTAACAAATTACTCATCAGACATGTCTCGTTGGAGTTTAAACGTGCACCACTGTTTGTACTCCAGAGGGTTATCTTACCTGGACCTCTGTCATGGTGAGGCGGTTAAATCCTCTCACAGATGTTTTCTGGCTGCTATCATTAGAGCTGGTAAACACACACACACCTACAGTACCTATGAGGAGAAAGAGAATTTAGTCAGTACTGACGCCCCCGCTTCTGTGATATTCACTTCACCACAAATACATTCTGGACAGAAGACTGTGGATTCGTGGTTTTGCTGTGCAGGGGCACATGAGAATTCTTAGTGAACAAGTCAGCTATTATCAGAACGCACTACAGTAGCATCGGATCAGACAGTGTCAGTAAAAATAACTTGCTAATACAGAAAGCAGAACTAACAAGTCTTCTTTTTTTAAATCACACTTTCACAACTGGGGCAGAATGTTTCCATGACGCAGGGTAATACTAAGTACATGAAGTTTCAACTTGTTGATGGACAAATAAGACAAATTAAAAACTCAGAAATATATTACGACAGATATTTTGGACACTAATATTCTACTCTGATGAATAAAAAGCATAAACCTTTGCACTTTGTATTCTATATGGTAACCCGGTTCGCGTTGACCAAAAATGGACACACACTGGTTTTTCCAGCTAAACCCCAATGACTGGGCCTTGTATGAATTAAGATAGCTCTCCTCAATGCTGGAATGCAAACTTGTGGTGAGATCTGACCAGGCCTGAGGGACTCATCCAGCCCAGCATTTCTTTACATCAATAAAGCAGCCACTGTGACTGTAGCCTTAGCCGTGAGTCACTCTGGGCAGTGTTTCCATGATACACGCACAACAAATTAGAGCAGAGGTGTTACAGTGAAATGATGGGCTATGGATTAAGTCATGCTCAATATCCTCCCCTCGCTCTCCTCTCCTCAAAACCCCATTTCCCCTCTTCCTGTACCAGTTCCCATGGACTGACACATGGGAACTGATACAAGAAGAAGAGAAGTAGCGGGGCCCAATGGTCAGAGCTCAGGGAAAATCCTGGCTCCAATAGATCTGTCACTTTACATGAGGTCACATCCTCTGACACGTCCATTACTACGACATCGACTTCCTGTATGAGAGCACAGATTTAGAATACTCCAACATTAGGGTGGGGTTTTTAGAAAGATGAATGATACAATAGATACTTTGCTGGTATCACTCTCCAAACTCTTCCTTTTAAAAGCATATTTCTTTCCTACGAAAACATAATCTGACATGGCACACATTTAGAAAAAAACACAGACACCAAATGGGAGAATAAAAACTCTCATGCGTCCCAGAGAGGACTGTCATCACTCAGTATGATGAGGATGTGGTGGATGTCGTCCCCAATGGAGTACTGCAGCTGTCTTTCTGTATCGGGGGACAGAACTATCCAGACACATTTCCCACGCCCATCAAGCCAGCAAGGACACCCCTACTTTGCCTCTGCTCATCTCAGCCCATTCTTTCTATATTACACATCTAGAGGAAGAAATAATGTAACCCATTCTGAAGAAAACCACGCCAACCCCAGGTGACCCCTAATCAGAGGTGTAACGGTCATGCGTCATAAGTAGTTCAACAAAAGTGCCTTTCACTTCTCAAACTGCCTCAACTAAACATATTGTAAGAGGCCTGGAAGTCTAAACGTTCTCAGTTTTTCACAAGAAAAAAGGGAAATATTAGAGAAAAGTAAGAAGAAAGTATAAACATGAAGTAGTAGAAAAACATATTTTTGCATTCTGTCCGATCTCTTGAATCAGCTCAGATGCTTCTTACAACCCCTCCCAAGCTGGAAACCACTGTACTAGATAAAAAGCAGCGGTGGAAACGTGCATTTACTCAAGTACAATTCTGACTTATTTGTGCTCTACTTTATTTAGTATTATTTAAATGTTATGCTACTTTATACTTTTTACTTACTACCATGTAAAATCAATGCAGTGTTAAACGGTAGGTTAAACCACCCAAAAGAATAAAAATCGAGTAAAATTAGCTCTACGGCAGCCAGCTACAACATAAAAATACAGCGTACATGTTACTTAATCAATAATAATATAATAGTATAACATGTAATAATGTAACAACGACAGAGCCTATTTCATCTGCATGGTGAGTACTTTTATACTTTAAGTACACTTTCTTGATAATACTTATGAATGAATGAATGAATGAATTTTACTTGTAACTGAGTATTTTTAAATTGTGGTATTGCTTTTATGTAATACTTCCACTACTGATAAAAAATCAGAGGGAGAGGACCACAAAAGTTTACCAAGACCAGTGTCTGGTTAAGACATTTCACTCTGGATCAAAAATGTCAACCTCCTAGTGGCACTAGAAGTTGGGTCAGGGGATCACCAAGGTCAGTAGGATTCATCCCTTGCGGACCATGAATGTCTGTACAAAATGTAATGGCTTTTTCAGTCTGGACCATGGTGGTGGGTCGACTAGGGCTGTGTATTGCTAAGAATGTAGCGATGTGATACCTATCACAATACAGGCGTTACGATTCAATATATTACGATATATTGCAATTTAAATAAACACGTTTAAGAAAAACTGTCATAGCACAAAGAACACACCACCATATATATACAATCAGAGTACAAAAAGCAATCATAGCAATGGGATCTGCATTTGTACTTATCAATGCTGCTATCTAGCAGTTGGGGGTATAAATAACATAACTGATACTGTGTTTTTGAGAATTAATACAATAACACAAAATAAAATATCCTGAAACAATATTTGTTTTAAACCCTATACCTAAGGCCACATTGCGACGGTGGCTAAAAACCCTCATCTAATGTAAGTCGGAATTCCGATCTTTAACTAAAATCCCAGTATGAGTTATAACTTGAAGGAGGAAGTCATGCTCATGATGTTCTGAAAATAGCAAAGCTATCCGAGTTTATTGATTGCAAAAGAATATGTCTGGGCAAAGTCTTGTGAGGGAGCAAAGTGATCTCACTGAGTGAGGAATGGATGAACGGGGCCAAGGCCGACACACAACAGCACTTTTTAATTCATCTCTTTTGGGACAGTGAATGCATCTCAGCAGCAGGCCACCAACAGCTGATTGAATGGGACAGAACTCAGTCTGTCATGGTGTCACATTGCCATTTCCAGAGAGCTCTACATGGAACCACAGCTTGCTCATTTCAGCAAGCGGACAAGGCTGTCATTGTGACTCGGTCAAGTTTCTACTGACTCCTGGGCTTGAGAAGTCAATCATCATCAGTCTGTCCGGCCAGTAGCTTTAAGGGCAGCAATGCTGCAGGTCCGGAGACATGACTTGTATTTCACATTTTATTCAGCGAGTACAATCAACTTGTGTCTACTGCTCTGTTATCATCGTAATTCTGCTTTACTTATTCATAGAAAAAGAAAACCTCACAATTCCCCCAACACGCCATGACAGAGCAACTGAAGCAAATCATTAGTATATCCGATTGAGAGATGTTGTTTATGACCCGAGAAGCAATGCATGACATGAGGTTCTAAAAGCAAAAAGAAGCCATCAAACTCAGTGAGAGACTGAAACCAAATATTTAACAAGTAACTAATAAATAGAGGTGGAATCTCTTTAAATAACTCATATAGCTATACAGTCCAATTTTGCGTATTCCTGGCACCCACAACAATCGTACTGTTCAAACCGGTTGACCAACATTTGAGTCTTGTCTTATGCAAGTCAGTCATGGCCTGAACTGTACAAATCAGTGGTAGCCTGACTGCACAAAGCAAGACAGGACAGGAATGTAGGAATATCTTCTTCGGCCTTGTTTAAATCTGCCACTCCCTCATCTATCTGCAGACAAAACCTGAGGTGAACAAGAAAATGCTGATCATGTGGTTGTTGCAAAAGCTGTTGTGATATTAAGGTGCTGTAAATAGATTTGCAAATGTGTCACTCATTAACATAATTATGCACAGGTACTTACAGTACATTACTTTAATATTTCCATTTTTCACTACTTTGTAATTTTACTCCACTACATTTAAATGGCAAATATTTTACTTTTTACTCCACTATATGTAACATTTTACATTAAAAAAATAAAACTTAATTAAATTAAATTAATTGTTAAAGAATAAATCAAATTCTTTTTGGCTTGTGACTCCTTACAATGAAGCAGTATCTTCTTAGGGCTTATGGTCAGATTTCAGATGTCTATGAGTTGTTTCATTCTCCCACAAAGATCATAGAAAAGACCAAACAATTAATAAGAATTTGTGTATCAGTTTTTTTTTCCATCCCCCATGCTGCACTAATCACCTCGCAACCCCTCACATTTATCTTGTGACTTTTCAAAGGGGCCTGACCCAATAGTCAGTCTAAACTAGCACGACCTCCACAAGCTACACAGTAAAATGCTGCTTAGAGTAATATTGTAATATTTAATAATATCGGTTTCAGGGGCCATTTATCTATGTAACAAGTACTTTTACTTTTGATATTTTAGTGTTATCTGTATTTTGCTGATAATACTTTTGTGCTTTTACCTAAGTACAATTTTGAATGCAGAGCTTTTATTTGTATATAAGTATTTTTACATGAATGTATTTGTACCTTTACTTTACTAAAGGATCTGAATCCTTCTTCCACAACTGGTAGTAAGACCTTCCCAATGAGCATCATGTCTGTGCAGCCATGTGCATCCCTCTTCTATGTGCAGCAGGAGGCCCTGGGTAATCTGCCCCTCATCCTGACCCTCCAGCCTGAGGATGCTCTGCGGCTGCTTTGATGCCACTGCCCTGTTATCATCACCATTACAGCAGCAGGGTGGCAGGGCCAAGTGCAGACAGAAGGAAACAATGATTTCTGTCCATATCCACTGAGCTTTTATCTGGCAGGTACACACAGACCAACACACCGAGTGGTGAGAAACGAGATAACGCACAGAAATATAGAAGAGCACATGCCAACAGTTCACCCAGCCGGGTCTGACGTGCTACAGATGTTCTTGAGGAGCCTCAGAGGAGGAAATCACCTCTGCCTCTGGGACAACAGCTGGATTCTGGTGGAGCAGCGCTGCTCAGTGAAACAACTGTTTGTAGGATGTAAGAGAGGAAGTAGAGTCCAGTGGTAGGCCCTGCAGTACAGGCCGTCATTGTATCACTTTAATGACTGTCAGTTTTGACTGTGAGCCTCTGTAATACAAGGCATGAAAGCAAATGGCAGTTTATCATAAATAAACACAAAACGTAATAATAAAAACAAGGTTGTTTCAGAGTAACAGGAAGAGGACAAATCAATGATTGCTAGTTGGGGAAATTCCCCTTAATTTGATATCCAGAAATTAGTGCACTTTGCATTTTACTATCCAAAGTTCAAACAGAACAATGGCGGTCTTGACACTCACGACACTTTGGGTAACTTATCATTTTACAAAGCAGACTCATTGAAAATACCATGCAAGGCAATGTTGCCTTCCCTGAGCAAGTGGACGGACACTTCCGTGCTGTGCACACCATGCAGTGCAAGGCTGCTCTGCTGATGCAGCCGTGCAGAACACATTACAGGGTAGCAGCTATGCTTTGCTGTGGTTTCATGAGCTCTCTTCATCTCGTTTCACCAGTTCGATCCTTCTTTACAGTTTTGTCACACTCTAAGAAGAAGAATCCTCTCCTCTCCAGGCTCTCAGGCTGTTGCAGCATCAGACTGGCTTCAGTCCTTTTTTTACTAAGGTGCTGACCTTTGAGGGAATTCCTGTCTCAGCCAGAGCGACATCACCCTGAAACAGACCCGAGAGGTCCCCAGTTCCTCTCTCCGACAAATTCTGCTTGTAGTGAACTTTTTGTTTTCTGTTTGGCACTTGCTATGAAATGCATTGGGGGCTTTTCAAATAAAAAAAAAAGTGATTAATTGTTTCCTATGGATGACTGGCTGATGAGGGGGAAAAAAGCAAAAATCTAACTGCGTGTCATTGCCATTTAATAATCACCCTTTGAGAGTCACACATTTCCGCAAATTGCAGCCAGCCTTCAAAAATAACGACTCAAAGAGCCAAGACTCTGACAGGTTGGATGCATGCTCACCATCTTGAGTCAGCAAAGTATGATGACCATTTACCTATCCATATTATCTACCAGGTTGTGAAAGACAGCTGCATGATGCAACCGCTGCACCCCAGGAGTCAGAGGAAATGCAGAAATTTGGAGGCGGAGGATGTTAAAAAGGTTAAGTCTGTCTCGAAAGCACACAGTTATCAAGTCTATTTTTGTTTTACTGTAAAGCACTTTGAGCTGCGTGCATTACATAAATGGAAATAGGGCTGTAGATAAAAGCTTTATTGTGTAGCCCAATGCTCTCTGATAAGCAACATGATCAGAGCTGTCAGTGTTACATTAATGTAAGTGCACCAGCTGATAGGCCCTACAGCTCATTAGCTTTACTCTAGAAAACATATATAACACAACATAACAACAACCAAAGGCTGCGGGCTCACAATAAAACTCTTACCTGTTTGCAGGCAGAAAACGAGACAATAAAACAGGTGATTCGGCTACTTCCCGACGTCCTTTTTCATCTGAGCGACAGCGGACAAAAAAACTCCCATTCACGAAATAAACAACCGACAGTTGAGGTTAAAAACGCATCAATGAGGAAGTGACTTCTCTCTCAGGTGACACGAAACTTCAGCAGTCCAAAAGTAGCTCAATAAAACCAGCCGAGACTGCTGCCTGTGCGTCTCCTGTCAACATCCTTTGAGAAAAACAATAAATAAAATCAGCCTTATGTGATGATAAAAATAAAAAAAATGTACTTTTTCTACAAACTTATCACTGCGGGCTCGACGGAAAGAGAGAAGTGAGTCAGGGAAAAGAAAACAACCCGGCAGAAGTCAACTGGATAGAAAAGTGCAGCGTTTAAAATAACTGCTAACTAATTTGCGTCTCCTTCACACTGCCCCACTCCTTTACTCCGTCACAAACATTCAAGTTTCTTTTGCCCCACCTTGATTTCTCACTGCACATGCGCATTAATGGCAAACTAGTCGGGACTAAAAATGGATCACTGGGTCTATTTGAGTGACGCTGGTGAAGGAATTTGACCATCAGTGTTTACAAAAAAAAAAAAAAAAGTCCACAAAGAAAAAGCAATGGTGAAAGTTTTATTTTTTTTTATTGTTTCAATCTGCAGACATGACACAGGAGGACTGCACAGCATTTTGATTTGACACTGACAGTGAACTTCGCTCCCAAAGGAAACAGTTATCTCGACCGCCCACTGATTATTTATTGCAATTGTATGTCAACTGCACACTGATTTCGCATGGACTTAACATCCACATTTGAAACATGTAAACTAATTCCCAAGAAACACAACCAGCGTTGTTTTTTTGTTTTTTTTGTTTTTAAACAACTCCCCCTTAAACCTACAAAAGAAAAGCCAGATCACCACTGGGGTTCAGGCTGTTTCACATTTCGTAGAGAAAATAACGCTCCTTCTTTGAGGAAATAGTGTTCGGTACATAACGCTGCCATTTCAGCAGAATAAGGAAGAGCCACCAGAAGTGTGGGTTCATGGCCCCCCTGGCGGCCAAAGAGAAACAAAACGCATATTCTGTTCACATTCAGTAACGCTGGCTGTGTCAGAGCCAGACTTGTCTCAACAGATGAGACGTAACACATCAGGCTGGAGGAATGTTGGAGAAAGGACAATACCTTTGTGTGTGAATGTCATTTTCACACAATCAGCATATGAACCCTGTGCAGGCTAATGTGCACAGAGAAGAATCCACACATATAATGCAAATCTGAGACTTAAGTTCACATGTGGAGACAATACCACACCATAAAACACAGCCCCAGATGATTTGTAACCTCTGCAACTGCAATTCAGCATTTTCTAGACTTCACCTCAATGACACAACAGATTTAAAAAGACATTTTAAATGAACGTGATCTTGTTAAAGAACAAGCAAAGGGTTTGACTTTCACTGTCTAACAGATCTGGCAGTAGAGAGGCCTACAGCCCCTCTGTCAAGGACTCAACAAGCACAGAACAAGCAGCTCTTCTTGTATTTCACAGTCTATGCTTTAGTTTCATGGTTAATGCCACCAACGATCGAGTACATAAACAGGCTTACCCCATAACATCAGGAGGCAAAAAAAAAAATCTCATCACAAAGACCTGATCGAATTAGTTCAGAGGGCAGGATTCTGCATGTTGATTTTCAGTTTAAAATAAAACAATTCAACCTAAATGCATTCCACGTATACAGAGCATTTATACTTTAGAAAATGCTACTAACCGACACGTCTTTGATCAAAAGCTGTCAACATCTGAACCATGTGGTTTGAAACCTAAATAAGGACCATACCCATGTTTTTTTTAGCCAATCTATTACAAATCACTTACACTTTACACCACAACCAACCCTCAGCTACTGTGTTTTATAAATTTAGATGCTTTTTGCCTTCCGTTGTATTGTACTTATTTTCATACAACATGAAAATCTACTCTCTTGAAACTTGAGTCTATCACAGACAATGTCAAGTAAGCATTAGTTTTTGTTGGTGTAAAGCAGTGCAGACTTTTGAAGTCTGTGATTAAACTACATATCAAACAAAAAATATGTGATATTGAACTAAACAGATTGAATGTTCGCTGTGAAACATTACACAACATAACAAAGTTGTTAGAGTTTGCCAATTGATTTTGATACTGTATAGCAATTGGATACCAAGAGCAACACATATTAAAACATTTTAAACTGTAGTCTGCGTGTAAAACAGGTCAGAACAAATGTTAATTATGCATGTTAGTAGTTTAGGAGCTAAAACTTGCAAACACTATGGTATGGTCCTTTAACTGATACACTAGAGAGCTGAAATGAAACCAGAACTTTCATGTTCTGCTCCAGGAGTAAGAAAACCTCATTCAAAACCAACTCAACTCAACTCAACTCAATATTTGTTTTTACCAACCTTTGACAAAAAACATCTCCCATAAGCTTCTACATTTTATGGATATGGACGAAACCAAGTTATGATGACGCACATACCTGCGCTGCCATGTTTGTAGTTTTTCTTATAGGAGATGTCTTCTTTTTTTTCCTTCTTTGCTAACCTCGTAATGATGTTCAACTTTGCTAATGTCACAAAGGTTTAAATTTCTTATACCAACTGTGATAGTGGATGAAACCCCAGGAACATGCTTCATTGAGGAATTGCATTGAGTTACAGAAACTAGAGGCTGGCCTGATGTTACGTTATGACTTCAGCTCTCTATTGTACCAAAATTTTGTCAGCAAACCTTTTTTTCCCCTCTTAGAGGCAAGATCGCTAGAGGTTTTGCATGCTGTGTCATCTTCATCAATGCCCTTAACGTCACAGACAAACAGAACTGCGAATATCTGGATTCTCTCAATTAGCTGCCCAATTCAGCACTGGCTTCTTTTGAAAACACAGCACACATCAATTACAAATAATAATAAAAATCATTTTAAAAAATCAGACAACAGTAACTGAGTGCCGCAGAGTATGGCAGGCTATAAGGAAAGCCATTAGCAATGGTAACACCGATATACAGAATGATGGATTTCTGCATGTAATAACATCGCACTTGCCTGTTTATTTACCAGATGGCTTTGGAATGAGGTTACAGTGACATTGAGAATTTTTCCATTTAAAGTTGGAGATTGTCCTATTCAAATTTAAACAGAACACTATGTGGTATAATTTTTGACACGTCAGCTGTATTTTTGAAAAACCTATTCTCCAAATACACTGTAATATCACGTAAATACAATGGTATCTACATAATTGCTGAAGCCTCTAATGGACAACACATTTACTTTTTCAGTAAAGCTCTTTTCTATCCTATCCATGTGCACTTAGTCGTTGTGGAACTAATGTACCAAACAGTGGGATGTCCCGTTCACATGTTGATGGGTTAGAAAGTTAATGGATGAACTGAAAAACAGCTGAAGCTCTGGAATATACAGTAAGGCGCCAAAACCCGAATGGTCATGGAGGGTGAAAGATTCAATCAGTCAGTCATGTTGATCATTCGTCACATTACGCAGAGTGCAAGGGAATGACAAATTTGCAGCCAAAAGGAGAATGGTACTTGATTCCCACTTCCTGGAACACCTGGCGAGGGATACCTATGTCACAAAGGTAAACCCTGCCAGCCCCCTCAGCTAGGGAAAGGGGGAGGCAAAGAGAGAGGGACCACTTGGCCTCGACCGCCTGCCCTTGTCCAGTACCCGGAGGGTCTATGCTGAGCACTGGTGCTCGGTTCTGGTTAGCCCAGTCTGCGGCGGCTCGGTACCAAGGCTGATCCATCAGGAATGTGTTCTCGTGGCAGTCCAGGCAGTTAATGATGAGGTCTACTGGGGTGTCTGGAAGATCTGTGGAGTCAGAGGGAAAAACTGTAAAATCTCAAGGTATGTAGCCTGACCTGACCATCTACAATGCAAAATGTAAAAATGAAAAAGTAGAAAAATATCGTATGCTCACCTTTGATACTTGACACCTGTTTGCCACCAGTCTTGTTAAAGAGTGTGAGCTCACTGGTGACTGAGTCGAGCATCTTGACGAAATTGGGCAGAAACAAGATGACCTCGACTTCGTGATTGGCCAGGTGACGACCACAACTGATGCCCTGAGCTCCCTGAACGTGGGGGCCACAAAGCAGAGCCACTGTGGGACGCTGGTGTAGATTTTTTGGAGTGAATCTGTAAGGAACATGAAAAAGGACCTGAGTTGCTTTCCTGATGTAATGTTTGACATATAAAACAATAGGTTTCAGTTGTATGTAGGGTTATCGGCATGTGTATTCGTCCCGAACAATTCAGTACAGTACAGACGTTTAGTTTGGTGCACAATTTCCTCAGTTCGGGACGCCCACTGACCCAAACAGTTACTTAAAATAGTCTATTTATAAATCCTACTCACACACGCGGAACAGAAATAAGAGTGTGTGAGTTTTACCCAAATGACTGTATGAGACCATTTCAGTTTCCCAGTTAGTTACAGCTGAAATGGACAAAGATTAGTGTCCAACAAACTGTGTGCTGACACGGTTCAACTGAAGTTGAGTATGTCTGTGCAAACATGTCAATTACGACAGCATCACCCAAATGTGCCGATTAGCAGGATGAAACAAAGTGACCAGAAGGCAAGTCCTTCTCCCCACAGTGTTCAGGCAGCCTTTCGCTGCAGATTCAGACTGTGCCAAAGCAATAACTAATGCTACAGGAGTGTTTATCATTGCAGACATGCGACCATACTCGGTCATACAGAACACAGGATATAAGCACATGGTCACATTATAGTCAGTTTACTGTGCCAGCCCTGTATAAACAAGAACAAACTGCAGTTGTTCAGGAATTTAACAACTCAGGATGGAGCATTACTGACATTTGTACTTTATTCTTATCGACTACATGACAAGTATATGAGTGCCAAACATCCAGAAATTTGGCCAAGGAGCCAGTGTTGAATGCTTACATTTTTTCTAAATAAATTAATGCTTTCTAAATTTTTCCCCTGCTATACCGAAAACGTACCAAACCATGAAACCAAAACTGAGTTACATACTGAACTGTGAATTTTGTTTACTGTCACTAGTATAATAATAATGCCATTAACAAATAATTATATGAATAAATGAAGACAAAATATGTATGTGAAATAATACAATATATTTTCAAAACTCTGCTCAATATTGTGACGTTATTTCATTTAATTCCTTTTCTTATTATTTCATAACAGCTTATCAATACTGAAGACTCGGGCTCTTCAATGAAAACCATCATTTTGATGTTTACATCATTACATGCTTACCTGTTCGGTCCTCCCAACAACGTAAGTGCCATCTGACTGGCACACACTCCAGTCATCTCAAGTCTCCGTTCCAGTGAGAGACCGTGACGCTCCGCGACTGACAACAGACGCTTGTGTAGTTCATAGGATATACTGGGTACAACAAGCCCAGAGTCTGTATGGAAAAAAGGATAAGTATATAACAGTCTCCTTCAGATCATTTACCCTCACTACCATTTGTTTCATTACAATGTGAAACACTTACCAGTGCAGTACTCTTTGGCCCCTGGCTGCGGTACAGTAATCTGTCTGTACACAATAGGTTTGGCCTCCAGGATGTTTTCATCATGACGATACCGTGATGGCGTCTGCTCTTGAGGTGTCCCACGTGATCTTGCACCATTACGGCGCTCCGATATGTCAATTTCTGAAAAAACTGCTGCTTTGTCAAAAAGAGCCAAGTTTCCTTCAAAATCAAAGTCTGTATCCAGCCCGTCATCCATGCCATCCCCAAAACACTCATCATCTCTGGGCTTCATCTGACCATTCTTCACCCCATTCTTCTTCGGTGTCACTTGGTTTGCCCCTCGACTACTAGATGACCCTGATTGGGGGAAAACACATAGTAAATCTCAACACAGCAACAATCATTAATTTGTCTATTTGACTGAGTTGTACTACATTGCACTTACAGGAGTTGTGTCTCCGACGAAATGCTTTTGGCTGGCCGGGAATCTCCAGGTGACGTTCTCCATAGCTTTTAGAGCAGTGCTGAGGAGAGTTCAGTTTCTCCACAGACCTGGGGTCACCCTTGGGTACTGAAACTGGAGCACTGCTTACCTTTGTAGATGCACAAGAGCTGTTCCTAGCATTGCCATTTCTGATATCTAAAATCTTAAGCTCCTTTATGTCAATGGCACTGCAGAAAAAAAAAAGGTTAAATACTATATTTAGTGACAAAAAGAACAAAAAAAGCTGTGAAAAACAGAAAATGAGCAAACAATTGGTGTCTGAGCTTTACCTGAATGTCACCTCGGGAATAGAGCACTTGACCCCGTTATGAAAGGGTTGTCTTAAGGAGATGGTTTGGCTGGATTGGTCCACAGATACCACCTCTCCTTGATAGACTCCCAGTGTTGGCCCACAGTTAATTGACACCAAACTACCCAACCAATCCGCAGCCATTACTGCACAATGATAAAGAACAGAAGTTTTAATGGAACTAGTTAAAGTTACTTGACAGAGAAGCTTTGTAGTAAACGCAAACCTTGAAAATGAATAAGCTTAGGACATCATAACTACTAATTGCTTAACGTTAGCGAATAGTTATGCTAACTGACTAGCGTTGGCCTGTTGTGTAGCTAAGTTCCTATATTAACTAACTAGCGTTAATTTCAAAACATAAACACTGTATTTGATTAAAGTCCTGGGTTTAAAGTGTTGTACCTCTCCGGAATGAATACGAAGCTCGACTCTCAAGAACACAAATGAGTGAAAGTTTCAAATTAAGTGCTGAAAGGAAAATAATTGCGCCTTTAAACTGCTAGCTTTAGCTTCTTGAATGGTCAAAAGCTACTTCTGCTGCTAGCTTGAGGATGACGACTTCCGGCTTCCGATATAAGACATCTTTCAAAATAAGAGCTTAAACGTGAAAATGGGCGAAATTTTGACATATTGCGACTTTTGGTCGCCATGAGACGTTTTAAATCCTGATAAAATGTACCGCGTATGAACATGTAAGTTATAATTAGGGTGTACACTATTTTGGAAACATAGAGCTGAATAATGTCTGACTGGCATATGCAAAGAAATAACTTTGGATTTAGTCAGTGGTGTGCAATATTTCACACTGAGCTGGAGAGTAATAGCATGCTTACATAGCCATGGTACTATCTGACAATTCATCATGCTTGATCATCCCTATAGCCAAAAAGAAAAAAACTTTTAAAAACACTTGAAAACACAATTATAAAGAATTGTTTTCTCTGTGTGTCCCTGAAGGTAATCATAATCCTCCCTGGTACATGTCACTGTCATAAGAAGGTAGGCTATGCATATTATAGTTCAAGAGTTCTTAACAACCCGTGTCAACAAACAACCAGTTAGCAAACTGTGTGAGATCATGTGGAGACTATCCCAGAAGTATTAACACATCCCACACCCACCCCACTGCGTCCTGTGTACATGGGTTACCATGGAAACTCAGTTCAAGGACTACTGAGCAGCTTGCAATCAAATCCTGTGTGAGGCTTACAAGCAGATCAAGTGAGCATGAGGGTTTCTGCAGCAAGGTACCGTAAGAAAAGTGTAATTTTGTGCATTAGATCAATATGTTGTGTTTATTTTCTTATCTCACATTTTCCTAGATAAATATGGAAAATGCTGTGTAAATAACACATTTATAATAAGATTAAATAAAACTGTTGATCACAAACACACTGTAATCGTCATGCAGTGTTAAAACTAGTTGTTGATCATCAAGCAAGCAGTGGAAATATCAAGACACATGATCCAAGGATAGCCACACACCTCAAGCTGCCACCTCTGTGAGAAAATCTATCCCTGTCGCTTGACATTGGGAGATGAGGATTGCAGCCTCTCCCATTCAAAGGGAAGTCATAGCTTGGATCTAGGAAGACACTTCAACATGTTTAGACCCTCGTGCAGAAGTTCAAGTCCATTTTCTCTCACAGACCTCGACATGTGGGACACCAAATCTCGCTTTACAGCCCAGGTAAGAGACATGTATAGTCTTTTTGTGGTAGAACATATTGATCTAAGTGTTTTACAAATGAGTGTTTTTGTTTCTTAGACCTCAGCATGGTGTGGTATGGCAACTGTCTCTGGGACAGGGTTCCTGTCCAAAGTTAACACAAGGTGAGAGGATTATTTATACAGTTTTTAAGCAATAGAGACAAAGTAATATTCATTTTCAGGTCAGGGTGGTGGAATAAATTCTGACTGATACACTGTATGTATTACAGCACATCTGGGAGCACCAGTGGCTTCAGGCAGAATGACCCAGGTCTAAGGAAATGGCAGTCATTGTCTCATCTGGCACCAAATCCTACACGATCCTTTCCTCCATCTCCAGGGGCTGAATTAAGGGCTGCTCGAGGTGCTAGTAGCTATAGAGAAGCAGAAGTGGGGCAATGGCTGCAGGATGCTCACGAGCGTCTGGACACTCAGCTGGACCGGCTGAGGACCAGAAATTCACAGCTGAGCTACAGTTTAACTACTGCACAACTGCTTGACATGAAACATAAGGTAAGAAAAGTAAATCTATACAAAGTAAAAAAGTAAATATGTAAACAAATTATATGATCTACCTTTTTTAATTTTTCTCCCTCCTTTTGTTTTGGTAACAGAGGTGGTTTTATAGTTTCACTGCTTCGGATAGGGGTTTTGGTATGTGTTTTAGTTGCACACAGCATCCTGTTATGTTGATGTGTTTCACAGCAGCAATCAGAAGCGATGAATGCTCTTGAGCAGGAGAAGGAGGCCGCTGAATTATCCCAATTTGAAAAGAGCCGGCAAAGTGGAGAGCTTCATGAAAAGTAAGTGCAGGAAAAGACACAGAAAGGAAAATCTGAAAGACCTAAGAAAAGATTCAAATTCCTCATATGAAATTCACTCACAAGGGTCCTACAGCTGGAGAAGGACCTGTTGCAAATGAGGTCTACTTTGGACAGAGGAAGCAGTGATCAACCAACCGAAATAGCTCCTGGCTCGCCTAGCGGAACATTACCAATGAGTCAAGATGACTTTAACAGACAGGTGTGCAAGCTTTATGTCTTATGAAAATAGATTTTGGTTCTGAATAGTGTAGTATTCTGTATTTATGTTTGTCACATTGCTTTTACACATGGCTTTAATTCAGGAGAGCCAGAAGGTTGACACAGAGCTGTGTAAGCTGAGAGAGGCTCTGAGAGATGCTGAGGCCAGGGCAAAGAAACACGAAGAAGAACGAAACCAGGCTCTCCAGAAACTCCAGACGTCTACAGAGGTCAGTTTGAAAATAAAGGGAAATACCAACATTTTGTTGTACTGTCATTTTCTTTTATATTCACACCTTTAGGCTGTGTGTATCTTCTGTGTGCCTAGACACAGGGGGCGCTGTTGAATCAAATACAAGAGATGAATCAAAGGTTTAGCCACACAAGACAGGATCACTCTGAAGTGCAAGAACAACTGAGGGAAGCTAACAACAAGATCAGCCAAGCATGTCTGGTCAGTTTTCCTGTCTGTGATTCGCTATTACCTCATCCTATAGTACACTATTTTACAATAGAAATTGCACATTGTTTTTATTTGTTATAAGGAAAAGGCAATCTTGTCGACTCAAGTGATAAAGCTGGAGGATGATATAAAAGAACTGAAGGCCAAACTGGCAGAGCCTCCTCTGTCTGACAAAGATCACCTGATCCAGGTAACATAAATTATCTTTAACAACAACAGGTTTTGTGCATGTCTCATGTGTCTTGTATAGGAAAAAGAAGATCTGCTTTTTAATTTTTTTTCTGAATTCTTATTAAATGATCCCTGTTGTGTCTTAACACCAGGTAAATGAGAAGCTGACGTGTGAGCTGGAAATGATTAAGCAGAAACTGAAAACATCACAGTCTCAGCTACAGGAGATAACAGCAGAAAGGGTCATCAGCTCCAAACAGATCACAGACCTGGAGGCACAATGCTCTCAGCTGATCAGAGAAAAAGAGGAACTGTTGAGTAAAATAAATGAAAGTCGACATGAGGAGCTAACAGAGATGAAAGAAAAGTGCTGCCAGCTCAGGTGTGATGGTGACATTATTTTTCCGTATTTGAAGATGAACTTATCAGTTATGCAGTGTATTATAATTTGCCCATCTTTAATGAAACACTCAAACTGTGTTCCCAGAGAATCTGTGGAAGTTTTGGAATTAGAGAAACTGAAATTGCAAGATCAGTGCCAGTGTTGGGAAGCTCGGGTCCTTGAGGAGGATGAGAAGCTACACCTGCAGGATGAAGCGTATCAGAAACAAGATGCAGTGAGAGTCCAGAGCATTGAGGAACTGAAAGCTGTGGCATCACACTGGAGAGAGAAATGGCAAAAGGTGGCTTTGACCCTGCAGTCCACACAGGAGGAGCTAGAGGAACTCAAAAAGAATAACTCCAGAAATGAAGTAAGATTATATCCTTTTATCATTCCCTTGAAAATAACTTTATACCACATCAGTGCATGCGGCAAAATTAAAATGTTAAAAATCTAATTTCAGCTAAAAGCAGAAGCTGAGCATCTGGCAAATGAGACTGAAAAACTTAAAGAGGCCCAGAAAGACAAGTGAGTCAATATTGTAAATCACTAATTACACTAATGACTGTCACACATGTCTTGTTTTGGTAATATATATTATTATATACCTGCCTATAGAGAAGAAATGGAGAATCGGCTGCAGCACCAAGCTAATATGGAGGCAGTGCTGAACAGAGCCAAGGTAGCGTATCCCTGTAAAGCTAATGCTTGAGCATTTTCTTCCTCAGGCACTGGGCACTAAGGTGATCTAATTGTTAAAGATACAGTAGATATATATACGGGTTATTAACACTATATGCTTTTTAACAGAAGGAATCTGACTCACTGCTGAGGGTTGAGCTTGACGCATGCAAACAGGAGCTGGAGCTGGAAAGGAGCAGGAGTCAGGCACTTCTTAAGAGACATAAAGATAAAGGTAAATGTAACAAAGTATTTACTCAAGTGCTGTATTTAATTACAATCTTGAGGTACTTGTACTTTACTTTGGTATTTCCATTTTGTGCTACTTGTACTCATTTTGCCAATATTGTATACTCCACAAAGCTTATTAGATGTAAATCACGTTACTTTGCAGATTTAGATTATTAAATCAAAATAATTGATTCATTCAATAAATTGTTAAGTATTATTACACAGTATCCACCCAGCAGTATGTAAAGTAGTAGAAATTAGTTCTACCTTTAATGATCCAACATTAATGATGATTACACATGAATGCAGCAATAATTATAATCCAGTAATGTTATATATATATTGTTCTGAAATAGGCCATTTCACATAATGCATACTTTTACTTTTTGTACTTTAATAAAGGGATAGTTCAGGTTTTTGTAAGTGGGGTCTTATGAGGTACTCATAAAAAAAAATCCATATCAGTTCAAGTGTATATAATGTTTAGAATATTTTCACTGCTTTAACTTGTCGTCAGACAGTCTGATGTTTATATGTTGTTTAGTCTGGTGGCTTTGGAGAGAGCAAAGATGGATATAACGGCTTAAGTTACATCACTGGGTATGGTGAATTCCCAGCAGACACCTAAACCTCAAAAATATTCCAAATAAGATTATGGTTTTAAGTACAGCAAGCATCCAATTCCTGAGAATTAATATTGTTTTATTCTTTAAACACAAGAGTGCATTAAACTGCTGTGACCTTGTAATTGCAGGTGGTGAAGCCTCAATGCAGACTCAGGACAAAGAGACAGTGACAGAGTGAGTGGATTTTGATGAGTTTTTCATTTTCAAAATGCACCATCAGCAAATACTCAAAATGAAATTCTGTGATCTGTCTCTTTATCATGTACTCTATCTGTTTATCAGCTTATCACAATCCTCTTTGTTATGGGAACCACCATCAGACTCCCACAGCAGCCAAATCAAATCCCCTCAGGTAACAAGATGTTCCTCCCTCACTGAACTGAATTTGCAACAACAGTGGAGATGTAATTACATATGTCATACCATTGTGTATTTTTATGTAAACATGTATTCAGAGTAAATATTTTGTCTATGGAGTATTGACAGTTAACATTTATGATTAATAGGTGTGTATGGAAAGCAGGGAGGTTCAAAAGTTGAAGCAAAGACTGACTGAAAGAGAAAAGGAACTGAGGGAAAAGTAAGTTTGTCTTTGAAAGATTGGCTAATTAATAATAAAGAATGGGAAGTGGGCGTGTGACTGGTTTCTATACTCACTGTGATAGGGAAGAAGCTTTAAAGAGTCAAGAAAAGCTGAGGGAAACAGAAATAAATAAAGCTCAACTCAAGATTTCTGCTCTGGAGCTCAAGGTGCAGTCACTACACCCTAAACATACAGTCCCAAATATGTGGATCTGTGTTTACCAGCAGGTGTTTTGCATGGGGAATTAACCAACACATCTTTTTCTTCTTTATTTTATGTTCCTAGCTCTTGAAAAAGGCCTCTGGAGAGGGTCAAGATAATGGAGGCCAAGCCAGCGTCTCAACCAGTGACTCACTGAGGGCCCAGCTAGAAGGTATGATCCTTGAAAAAGTTACAGAGGACAGTGTGTTGATTTTCTTTACTGGCTCAGCTCTTAAACATCTTCCTCCACCTGTTTTCAGAGAGCAAGAAGAGGGCGAACCAGCTGCAGCAGGAGAAAGCACTGCTGGTCCAGAAGCTTCAAACATTGAAGCAGCTTTACCAGGTAAAGTTCATAAAAAGTGATACTTCTGAAGATGGCTTCCTGTGGTGGTGATGAACATAATAAATGTCAGACTCCTTGTATATAGGTTAAAGATGAAAAACCATCTGTTGAAGGCGGGAAGGATAAAACTGCCTGTCCAGTTAATCTCGAGACGGAGCAGCAGAGGAGGATGGTCACTGAGCAGGTATATATGATGCCAAAATGATTTCAGTTTACCTCTGTTTATCCAGCAGTGTGGCTCTAGGGATGGTAATATTGGTCTGTCAGCCCAGGCCCACTACTTTGTAGGTCATAGCCTAAGCACCATCATCAGGTCAAGATTTTAATTTGGTCATCAAATACAAAACCAACCCATCAGCCTTAGCTATACTTATTTAGTACTAAGCAATGATACGCAGCTGTGGAAAGTAAATACTAAATAACTTAACTAAAATATATTTACTCAAGTTGCATTTTCATAAACAATACATGCTAAACATCCTATTGTTAGCATTGTCATTGTGAGCCTGTTAATAAGCTGACATCGACATTTAGCCATTTAGCTCAAATACCGAGTATAGCCTTGCAGAACTGCTAGTGTGGCTCGTTTTATACCTGTTGTAATGACAACAAGCCTCTTAAGAGAAATATACTGTATCTTACCAAATTTTTAGTTAAAGAGTCTGTTTAAGGAGCGAGAAGGAAAGGAGATGGGAAAGGCTGACAACAGATCAGCAGCAACTGGAGCTTCCTCATTACAAGACTGGACTCCCGCACCTAAAGTAATGAGGGTAAGTTGCCTCAGAAAATCAAAAACTGAGAAAATATGAGAATACTGACTTACCAACACTGATAGCGATTCAATGGATTACACTAATGTGAATATGTTAAAAAAGAACACGTCTTGTGTGTTTTAATTTTCATTCAGAGTGCAGTAGACAGGAGGAGCTGGCAGCATGGTTCAGGTTTGATGCCAGTGTTTGAAGAGGACGAGGAGAGCAGTGACTGGCCAGGAGGGGAGGAGCGAAAGCCAGCAAATGAGACTCATGCTGAGGAAAACGTCCACAACCAAAGCCAACAGGTTGTAGAGGCTTACAGTAACTCTAAGTTGAATGGTTACCGAGTTGAAAATCTATAAACAACCAGCCTAAACAGGCAATGTATGGATACATGTGTCCCTAAAAACCCTAAACCTCTGTCAAGAGCAACAGCTAAATGACTAAAACATTAACACTTAACCTCCAGTCACCACACCACTCAAAAGACCATATATATGCCTGTATGCACACTAGGATGTGCAGGATGTTAAATTATGTATTAACATCTGCAACTGATGCAAATTAATATAATTAATGGCATAAATCATGGCGCACAGATTATGTCATAAAATTAACAGAACTACCCGCACATTCATTCATTACATACATCCACATGTGCAGACAGCACTAATCCCAGCTTCTGCTTTAATCAAATAGCATACAGGACATGGGGAGGGGTGTCAGGCTGGCTGCATAACCACTTAAACTTTATGTGAATGTAGTTCAGCTATAATCTCACATATGACTCTTTCTACTCCGTAAATAATCTGATTTAAAGATGAGGAGTGAACTGCTGGACTGGAACACATCTGACTCAACCATAAGAGGATAGGAAAGAGTTACAGTCTGTCACTGTCTTATACTGAAAGCCTGTGATGATATTACAGCAGAGAACCTGTCAGTAAAAGATATATGATAAAGGCATTAAAAGGTGGTGTTGAGTGCTGATACATACACATTTTAATCTTGAAATAACATTAAAATAAAATAAAAAATTAAATTAAAAAATTATTAAAATATTGAAGTTGAAGTTACACTTTTTTTTGGTTGAATTCATTGAAAAAAATACAGCAATACAGCAAATGTCTGAAATTAGGCCTATTGAAACCATTCTCTCCTCTGCCAGATGTCAACTATGAGTGCAGAAATCAGCAATCTGAAGGCAAAAAATGAGAATCTGCTACAAGGTGAAGTTGTGCATGAATCAGTGTAGTAATCATTAGTATCTAGACATGTGCTGTGATCTGTGCTGTGCTAATAGTTTGTGGCCTTTGGGAAGACTGTGGGATTCATATTTTTATCTCAGACAGGGACATATCCACTAACGCCTAACTGTACTAATACATATGGACTGTTTAATAAAACAACAAGCTACTTTTGTCATCACTTTTCGTGGAGAAGTCCCAGATCTCAATTATATTCTCTTTTTCCTTCCTTGACCTTCTGTCTTCTGTATGTAAACACATTGATTTGACATTTTGAAATATCAATCTTGGTGTAATTATTTTCCCCCTTTTCCAGATTTAGCCACACTAAGGAGCAAGCAGCCAATCCAGGACTGTCCCCCTTCATCAGACAAGTATTTTGCAGTTGACAAGTCAAACCTATCTTATTGCTCAGTCGAGACTGACTTGCAGCAGAGGAGACCACTGTCTACCTTATATCCTGATGGAATATTCCTGGCAGAGCTTATAAATATCTGTAGCCCTGATGAAGATGAAGAGGAGGAAAAGGACAAATTAGGTGTTTTGTCAAGGCTGCATTGAGAAAAACTTGCTATATACAGGTCTATACATACTGTAGACCAGTTATTGCAGGGTGTTGCACCAGCCAACTTTGTGCCTTTTTGCTTATTTGTTGTTTTACTAAAATTAAATTTAAGTACTAACTCACTTCAACAATTTAAAGACAAGGTTCTGCTCAGGTGATACTTTGTGGAAGTTCAGCTATAAGTAAAATGATTATAAAATGATATTTTTGTTTGTCATTCTAACAGAAGATCACTGAGTGGTAGAAACAATTAGAATATTTATACCTCAGACAATAGTGTTAATAAAAGTCACCAGGCTACCTCATGCAAAAGTGTGTTTTATTTATATGACATGATACGGTTCTTCACATCATTTTTACATTCGGAAAATACTACAGCCAACAAAACTGTAATTACAGATGTACATGACAGTATATAAAGTACATTTGTATAACATACTGTACATCAAGTGAATGACAAAGTTTTACTCACAGGGACTGAATACTAAGTAACTCTTCAGTATTTCTAGATAAATACTACATTGCTCAGTTTAATTACCTTTCTTTACTGTTAGAGAAAACTCACTGATTAATTCTTCATTGTACAAGATCCATTTAGAAAGTCTGTTGTTTCATAAATACATTGTTCTGTTAAAAGCCAACAAACATATATTGTGTTGTTCAAAAAGTCCTTCTGTGCACTTCCAATACTTTCCCAAAGAATTCACAGGTTGCTACATTCAAATAAGGCCATTATAGAGATTATATTGTGTCCATATATCCATCCATCAAAACTGCAGTGTCAGTGAACACATCATTTGATAAACAGTACTCAGGTCCACTGTTTCTCAGCTCTAAAGACGCTCTGGTTGTACAGTGTGCCAGCGTGCCTGCTCCACCTGCAGGTTGCACATGTCCCTCCAGTGAGCACGTCCTGCGTCTGCAGCCTCTGCACCGATTCGGACTCGACCAAGAACTTTACCATCTGAAAGGACCTGATTCTGTCACATAAGGAAGGAGCAGGGATATGGAATTCACAGGGAAGTCACAATACAAATAAATGTATTTCATACTGTGATTGTGAGCTCCCAATGCTTTCTTTACCTGCATGATTATGAACTCAAGCATGAGGGGGAGCTGACTGATGTCTCCTGGAGGCAGGTCAAACAGGAAAGAAGTATTCCACACAGTACAGGACCCTCCTTTAGTTTCTCTGTGGCTGATCACAGCGCCCTCGTGATGCAGATTGATCACCACCTGGTATTCTTCAAAGAGATATACAAAGGTTATAAAATGTAAATTATAAAGTAAACATTTAACTAAAATTCAGTAAACAGTAAATGGCAGGAGAACACTATACTGTATAAACATAAGAAGGGTTAATTCAAAAGCTGACATTACAGACAAGCATGCATTGTTTTAATCCACCTGGGTCTTTGTATTAGATATTTAAATCTAAAACACGCTTTTCAAACATGGACATTTTGAAGGATTGCATCACACAAGAGTGTTCAAGCATTAAAAAAATAAGATTTAAACTATTAAAAATTTTAATAATTAAAAATAACATTTCAGAAGAATTCTGACTGTCCTCACAATGCCTTTTCCCCTATAAAGACACTATAACGTGGCACTAGAATTCATTACATAAATTTTTTTTACTCATCTTTATCTGTGTTAATGCAGTTCGGTCCACTCTCTGTATAGTCTAAATATTCATGAACAAATACTTTCAGAATCAGATATGAAACAAAAAGAGATTATCCAAGACAGATTTAAATGACATACTGTACATGAAACATATGATTAAATCTAATGGCTCTGAATACAGGACAGGCTTGTATGTAATAATTTTTATTGCATCATGCTTAGACAGGCTAATGCAAACAAAGATTAGATCTGACAGATCAGAGAACCAGATGAGATTGGAACATTTTCCTGAGGATTGTGAATAGTGAAGGATTAAACCACAATGTCATTAAAAAAGGGATGATCTCCTGCTGCATTTGGGTCCAGTAAGACATCATTTAATCCCCTAAACATTAAAAGCAAACATAGGGAATTACTTTACCTCTTTACTTTACCTCTGCCCCTGCAAAGCAAAAGTTAGTTCTGCCCATGCATGCTTACAGAATGCCTCTATGCGTGATGTCTTAAGGGATCTCTAAATCAAATTTAAGTGACATTAAATGTTGCTTTTACCTGCTGCGGCCAATGTGTGAACAAGGTTGTCTAGGTTATCTGCTCTGAGGACTGTAGCCTTGATGCGATGGGCCAGAGTCTGATACTGAAGCAAAATGAAGATCTGTGGAGGACAACTAAGCCCCTTACACATCGTTGCATCCTGTGAGATCAGACCCTGCAGACAAAGGGCAAAAGGTCCAAGAGCAGAGAGAAAGAAACCTCAATCAGCAGGAAATGCAGCTTTTGCTTTGTAGTATTCAAACATCACAGAACAAAAGACTTAAAAAAAAATTGCAGTAGCCACAGACATATCATTTCAACTGGTAATCTTCATGCAAGGCTGGATTACCAACCAGGCAACTATCCGATTTTTGCCCAGGTGCTATGTAACAGGTTCATCTGAACATACCTCTACACACCTTAAAATAAAGTCAACACCTGCTCACAGACATTAATTCAACACACCACTACCTTTTTTAGTGTCCACTTATTTGTGTTAAGCTCCTTTGTGAAGTGAAATGGGTGATCTGCTCTCCAGTCTCTTCCTCCACATTCGGCCTCCAGTTCACCCAGTCCGGTGTCTCTCAGGCAGGGAGGTTCCCGTGGGTATACGGCTATTCTCAGTACACACCTTTGGAGCTCCTTCACAGAGCTCACTTTCAAAAGCAGCACCAGGCTGTGGGTCTGAGGGCTGAGGCTGCTCTGGGCAGAGGCTTGTATGGGACAGGGGTACAAAGGGGACAGGCTGCCCAGCACAGATACGTCCTCCAGGGTGTGGGGTGTCCCAGTGAGGCTGAAGACAGTGACTGTCAGGGTTTGCTGCTCTGGAGAGAAGGCCATAGTGAAATGGAGGCATGGTTTTGGTGATATTGGCTGTTGGCAGCTGGAACTGGAGCCATAGTTCAGTGGAGCCAGTGGAATTGGTTCTTCAGGCATAACGGGACACAGACCGCTGGGGCTGGTGAGCCTGCTGTGTTCATTGTAAGATATACTACCCCCAGACACTGTGCAACGCCTCTGCAGAGCCTTACAGGTTTTGGACAACAGTCCCAGTTTGGGAAATGTAGACAGGGAAATATGGGAACTGGGATCTATGGGTTTATAAAGGGGTGATATTAGTGTTGGTGTGCTGAGGCGGCGCAGGGAAAAATAAGACTTTGGCTGCTCCTTCCGCTCAGAGGCAGCTGTAGCTCGATTAGAGAATGTTGGAGAGGTAAATTCACCCTCTGAAGGGGCAGGGCTGGGGAAAGTAGAAGGGTACTCTAGTAAATCTCCATCCAGCTCTTCGTATTGCTGCCTAGACGCTGTCGTCACTGCTGAGGGAGGCGGGCTATGGGCAAAGGTCACAGGTTCAGAAGGAGCTGGTGCTGATGTCACAGGATCTTTGTCTTTCACTGGACAAATCTGACTGTTCCTCCAGCACAGGATACACCCCAGGACCAAACACAGACAAAAGACTATCAGTCCAACCAAAAGAAGAATTTGGAGGTGAACTGTAAGAGAGAATAATAAGATTAGTCAGATGGAAGCAGTTTAGAAACTATTGTAATTTACCCCCAAACAACTCCTGGATTACATAACACAAACCATACACCGAATGAATTCACATTAAAGCACTGTTAAAGGTTAGTTCACATTTTTTCCAAGTCTATCTTAAAACAATATTAAAATGTTTATATCCATGTTGAAAAAATAGTTGATCTCTGTAATAATTCCTGTCCATTCCTAATGTGATTCCAGTGAAAGAGATGCGATAATGAAAGAGATTATGCTCAAAAGTTACAGGCTATTTTTTTGCTAAATTCCCCCTTTTTTCCCCCTCTGACAGAATTTAGTTGGTCTTTGTTGAGCTATGGAGGACAAATAGTAACACAAAGAGGGAATATTGTACTGAGTCACACTGATAATGCCTCATTTTAGCTTTGGTTTCATTTATTTTTGCACAGAACAAAGACTATGGATTTTTTTCTCTAGCTATTTACACTGAAATCATGTTGGGATGAGGCCACTATGGACAGAAGGAATTATTACAGCAACCAATAACTCTTTTAACATTAATATAAACATGTGAGTATGTTTTTAGGCTTGAAGAAACCTGAACCTACCCAATTTAAGACCATACCTTCTAGTTGTTTGGTGAAAAGGACCTGCACCAGAAGCCAAAAGAAGAGTATGACCATGATGCCCTCAATCATACCCTTACAGCAGAAGAGCAGCACAGACTGCCACAGAGGCTGACCTGGGTACTCCTCGTCATGGTAAGGCATGGTGCCACTAGTGTGTTGAAGGTTTGTCAGAAACTATTTCAAAACATTCACGAGTAGAAGCCCAGAGGTCCCAGTAAAGAAGATCATTTGCTTGACTTATGAAAATACATCCTGGCTTTCAGTCCTGGACAGATTTCCCCACGTAATTCTGCTCCAGAGGATCAATCAAAGCCATTGTTTTGGAGTGCCAAAGTCACAAAGGCAAAAAACATCTGTATCCCATTAAAACATCTTGGATATTTATAATCACAAGTTTCAGGTTTGACAAAACGTGCAGATTACATGATATCCAGTGATTTCATAAAAATAATTTCTCATATAGGATGGACCTCGTTCTTCAACTTTAGTAGCTGCAGGTGTCTTTTCCTGTTCAAGTTTGAAAAATCTTCCTGCTGTTAATTCCAGTCTTCCCAGATCAGTGATCTCCTCATCTGCAGAGTGACTTGGCCGGTATTATTCCTCCCTGGCAGGGCAGGCGGGGACCGTGGGCGGAGATATCAATCTCATAATCTAAATTGTGCCTGTAGCATCATTCTTCTCCAGTGTTCCAGATGCCAGTCCAGCAGTGTCACTACAGAACAACTATCCCAGCAGTAAATCCTGCAACCCATCCCCCGTCCTTATCCTCTGACCCACGAGCTCTTATCTCCATTAGTATAACCTCTGTTATAGGTCTGCTGCAGAGTTCAGAAATTAACTCTTCCTCTTCCATACACACAATGTGTAGATTTTTACTTGATAAACATAATATGGTGTGAAAGCAGACTAATTTTGTTTGTCACCAATGTAACAGTAACAAAAATGAATTGACAATAAAATCCAGGACAGGAATTGTTTAAAAAAAAATCTCAATAGTTTCCCCTTTTTTAGGTTCCTGATATGACAGATATTAAGGTTAGATATGTCAGAGTGACGATAAAGTGGAAATACAAATAAATGTGTATGTTTATAGATGCATAAAACCCCTTAACTTGAATGGGTTGTGTTTCTTGTATATAGGAGGAAATACTACCCCCCTCTGGCCACTCATTAATGTATTCTTTTCTTTTTGATATGTACTTTCCAAGTATTGAGATCATTTGCTTGAGTAAAAGAAGTAGTACTGCAATATGAATATACCCCATAATGCACAATATTATATATTATTAGATGTCATTGTAAGGATGTGTAAGTAGCATTTTAAATTTTATAGTTGTTCAAGATAGAACTAGTTAGTTAAATCTATAATAATGCATCATATTTATTAACTGATCATATGTTTTCACTTTTATTTGAAACTGTAAAGTACTTCGTAAGCTTTATTCTTAATATTGGGATCAGTATTTGTGACAAAACAATCTCAACTCAGTTGATGATGACGACTATGAGATGCAGTTGAAATCTCAAAAAACAATTTATAAATTGAACTTGAGTTGAGATTATTTTGTCACATGATATAAAATGTTCTCTTATTTACTTATTAAGGATTTCTTCAAGCCGAAAAAAAAAATGAGACTATTACACAATGTAAAAATGCAAGCTGACATATTATAATAACTAGATCTCTCAATAATCTCCATAAAAGGCAAAAACAATGAGAAACAAAAACTTTCTTCAGCACACAAGATTGTTTTATTCCTCATGGCCGCATGTCCAAGAAAGACGTTAATCAAAGACCAAAACATAGTTAAACATTAAGTCTGATTTATTTATTTTTTTTACAGTTGTCAAGTTCACAGTGACATTTGTTTGCAATGATATGTTTACTTGATTGTCCACTTACAGAAGATTTCAGCAGATGGCTAAATGAACACATGCTGCACTAAGTATTGCATATTTCTCTAGAAGAGTGAGGTAGCACTGTTTTAGTGTTCACTTGTCAAAAGCTTGAGGTCATTAACGATACATTCTCTGCGTTTATATAAATACAACACAGCAATATATTATGACATATTATGACAGGACATTCCTGAGTCCAAAAGAAGTTCCAGAGAAACTTACCAACAAGGCAAGTCAGTTGAGGTATATTTGTATCACTTCCATCCTACATAAATCTTGTCTCTCACATTTTGGCTTTGATTCACAGCTGACATGAAATAAATGTTTTGTAATTCTGAAGCTGAGCCAAATGATTAAATAAAAAAAATAAAAAAAGTAAAATAACACAATGCAAAACATAAAACTCCAACCAGCCTGCAACCTATTTCTTTTAAATTCTGTTTGATTCTTCAGGCTAAGCTGCTGTAAAAAGAATAAAGTTTGAGCTTGAGCATTTTACCAAATGTTTGCCAAGAGGGATACACAATGGCTTCCACAAAACAGTTACAGACAGGAGCTATGAGACTGAGCTAAGGCTTTTTGGTCTTCATCAGGTGCACTTTGGCAACCACACTGTCCTACTCTGGAAAAAGGCAGCTACAGAACTGATGATTAGCTATACATGTAGAAGACACCCAAAGAGGCTAAGCATTGATTCATTTTTGGAGCATTTTTTTTACATTTCGAAGAGCTTCTAACAGGCACTAAGGTGAACTGTGACCTGAATCTATATTACAGTCAGTTTGGAAGCTTATGAGGTCAAAATCAATGTCCTCTTGATAAGACAAATCTTAAGCACATTACACTGTGAAAGTAAAACAATGCTAGAAATAAACTGAAATGCTTCATAAGTTGTAGAAGATTTTACCTATAATTCACAAAGGACTCATCTGACAAGAGAGGTACATTGTGTATCATCAGAATAGATTTAAAAAGGCAGCAAGCCTTAATTTGGTCCCTTTGAGGAGGTGGATGATGAAGAGGAGGGACTGTGTGAGGAGGAGAGGGCACTGAAACCACTCGTTCCTGCCAGAGTTACAGCCTGCGATGCCACAGTAGCAGCTGACTTCTGGGCAAACAGCATTCCTGCAATGTAGCGATCAAAGAGAGCATTACAATAAAATAATAAAAATAAAATAATCGGCATTTACTGTACAATTCAAATTTCAATTTCATCAACTTCAAGGGAGAATTTAGTGTCATTAAAAGGTCCAGTGTAACATCTAGGAGAAATTAAATATAATATTCTTAGGTACGTTTTCATCAGTGTATAATCACATGAAAATAAGAATGGTTGAGTTTTCGTTACCTTAGAATGAGCAGTTTTAACAAAAAACATGCAACATTTTGGAAAAGATGCTCATTTGCTTTCTTGCGGGGAGTTAGATGAGACAATCAATACCACTCTCATGTGTTTACACTACATATAAATTTAAAACCAGCAGGCTAGCTTAGCTTAGCATAGAGACTGGAAGTTGAGAGAAACAGCTAGCCAGGGGTAACAAATCCCCCTACTAGCCCCTCTAAAGCTCACTAATTAACATGTCATATTTTGTTTGTTTAATCCGTACAAAACCAAAGTATAAAAATGACTAAATCTGTTTTCCTTCTAAGTCTAATTACTCACCTGAGTAAATGGTGCCATTGACCTCCACAGAAACACTGATACTGGCTGCTCCATTAGTGGAGATACTCAGAGACATATCTTGTTTGCTTTCTGTGGAAGAAAAACAAAATTCTCAGATAAATGAACTTTCCTGAAATAAAGTAATGCTATTGCCTGTATCATGACAGCAAAGACAACTCACCATGTCCGTTGTTATGTTTGAGGTTCATGGGGTTGAAGTGAGAGGCAAAGGCCAGGAGGTTTTGCTGCAGGGCCTGCTGCATGAGGCGTTGCTGCTCCTCCGCCAGCTGCATCATCTTCTTGTCTGGACCGTCGCTTGCAGCTCCTCCTGCTCCTCGCTCCAGCCTCTCTCTCAGATGCTCCAATGTGGCAGCTTGTGCCAGCTGCTGCTGCTGGCTCAGTGCCATAGCCATGGGCAGCCGGCTAGGTAGAACAGGGGTAGACATCTCCTCTGATTTGAAAAAGATGAAAAGTAAGAATAATTTTAAACATGGCAGGAAATCAGAAGACAAGCACAAAGAAAAATGGCAACATGGTACAGTTCAATGTAACCTATATTAAAGTTGTAAAAAGAAATGATTCATTTTATTATAAATCTGCCAAATGTGAGGGAAGATTTAAGCCACTAGAGGTCACAAGCATCACCACAACATAATTCAACATTTATTTATGACTGAATACGATGTAAAAACTAGTTTAATAGTAAAATATGAGTCCTCTAATAGATTGGTGTCAAAACAAAATTCAGCAAGTATTACAAATGTAACACCACACACACTCTACCATACCTGTCTTTCTCTTCAGATTTGGGCTAGCGGATATATTCAGGCCGTTGTGTCCGGTCGAGGTTTGCATCGTGGGTGAAGAGAGGAGGGCGTGAGGAGCAGAGCTCGGGGAGGGAGAGTAGCGGTACAGGCTGTTGGTGTAGCTGGGGCGTCGACCTTCTCTACGATTACTGTCGATGGCAGCCTGCAACTCACCTGGAGAGCTCAGGCCTTTCTTCTCACACTCAAACGGGTACAGATACTTCATATACCTTCAAGGGAAAGTTTTATACGAGTTAGATTTTCTGGAGCAAATGAGACCTTTTTTTAAAATAAAGATGATCTGGGTGTAACAGACATTTAAGGCATTCATTAGTTAGCGTTTTAACTCAATTTACAAACTAGCATCACTAATTAAGAGAATTAATTCAACATTTCAGTGTTTGTCAACTACAGCATATAATACTCAGATTTGGGCTAACTGTTACTGAAATGTCCATGTCCATTCTTTGATTACTATTACATGAAAAATACACACACACACACACAAAGTGTGAAAGTAATTGAACAAAGCTGGTGAGTGTTCATTCATGAAATGTTCATTTTTCATCATTCACTAGATCACCCAGCTACCTTCAAAAAAACCTTTAAGCAGACAATGTTATAACTACCTATTATAACTACTGTTATAGTTTCTCAAAATGTAATCAATGTTTCTCTTAAAAAGTTGAAAATAGCAAGATATTTATTAATGTGATACTGCAATCTAAAATCATTACTTCATAAGGGGAATATCACATAATGTAAAATACTAACAAATATACATACATTTAATTTTTTAGTCATTATTATTCTACTTAATAATTTCAGGATATAATTTGTTTTTATTAGAAGATATTAAAGCTGAAGTCGGTAACTTATAAAATAACTTTTTGTCACATTTGCTTAGACTTTCACTCTATCCTGACAGTAGTTCATGGGACAATATGAGAGATGAGATAATCTGTGAAAGAAAGAACAGGTTCCTTGTGCTCCTGATAGTATTTACAAGAATCCACAGCGCCTGTTCAAAAACATCCAATCGGAGCCAAGAAATATAGTTGATTGTTGAATCTCAATTTCCACGTGCCGGTATTTCTATCTTTCTCTGCTCTGACTGGTTGTTTTCATTGAGGCGCAGTGGATTCTTGCAAATGGCATTAGGAGCACTAAGAGGAGCCAGAGAAACCTGATTCGTTTCACAGCTTATCGCTCTCATGTACTACCATCAGGATGTAGTGAAAGTTTCAGCAAATATGGAAAACAAGGTTGTTTTTTTTTTTATTTATAAAAGTTACCTACTGCAGCTTCACATTGCCAGTTACATTATCCGTTAATCTACTTCTTCATACCGGACCACATTTTAGTTCTCGGACTGCTCCTGGAGCGTTTCTCTGGTAATGCAACAACTTTTCCAGCTTTTCTGTTACAAATGAGAGAGACACCTACTGGGTGCGGAGGGTGAAGGCTGCGCTGGTGATGGATGTGGGGAGATTGAGACCTTTGGTGATCTCCCTCCAGATCTTCTTGTTAATAACCTCCACCAGGCCTCCCTTCTCTGTCACAAGCTTATAAAGCCTGTACAGGTCCAGTATCTGCTTCGCCATGATGGGAATGCGGTTCACAGGAGTTCCTGAGTGAATGAGGGGATTAATACCACAAAATTAATTTATTTTCTTTTAATTCTACTCCTGAAAAGTTGGCTTAAAACAACAGTGACCTTGTAAAGACACTATTGTGGACAGGTACAGACACAAACATATATCCTGACTCACTAACCTGAGGGCCTGAGGTTAATGTTAGGTAATGTGGCTTAGCATGTATAATCTGTGTGGATAAACCTCTCTAATTAAGCTTATTTCAGATGGATGGGGGTGGGGATAATTCCACAACAGCAGCTCAGTTGGTGCATTGATTTGAGCACAGGGGGAGGGTGATTTTACAGCCAGCAGCAGTGCCTGCCAATCACAGGGTTGACAGCTAACCCTTCCAATCCTGATTTTTTTGGAGTAAAGCCAATTAATGAAGAGGGCTAAAACGCAGTTGAAGAAACAAGATTACTTTGTGCTCAGGATAAACCCATGCCACAAACACACACACACGTTCATTTGCCATGGCCATGTCCTATCCCGAGGATACTTGAATTTCCCTCGGGATAAATAAAGTATCTATCTATCTCTTAGCACCTAGAGTAAAGATTGCTGACAGTGTCTGGCTGCACCTATTTTAGTTCAACTAGGATTTGTTTCCATTGGATCAAATGAATCTGCATAAGTGTCTTTAACATACGGTACTTACACTGCTTTACTATAGTGATAGACAAAAGTATACTGTAAAAGCAGCAAGGTATTTAATTTGATTTGACAATTCAAAAATTCCTAGATTTTTGTAAGATTTGAAAATTAATGCAATTTTAGCCACTTTAAATTAGAGTCTTTTACTTGATGTGATCAGTGATCAGTATAAGCTGGAAGATTAATTTAATTGCATTCATACTATTCTGGACGACAACAACAAAATACTACTTTACTTACTAAAACTAAACTAAAAACCGTTTCAAGCCTTTCATTTTTGCATTAATAGATCAGCATTTTTTCCTAATATTATAATATTCAACACACTTTGGCCACAATTGTATTTGTGATCTGACTCTGATTGTTTTGTTGAACTCTTGGGGTATTTAAAAATCACATCTTAAATGCATTTTGTTTCAAATCTATGAAAACAGCAAATTCAGGGTCATTTACACAATATAGTAAACTTAAAAGATCACTTACAATTAGTTTTGTCCTACACAAAAACAAACGGTGTAAATCATTTTGAAAGGCAAACACTTTTCAGATCATCCAAACATCAGTCAAACCTCAACTTTGACCAGCAGCTTATGACATTGGGTTTAACACTAGTTGAAGCGTGCTGTTGTCACATTGAGATAAAAATATAATTCTATCGGCAGTGCCTTGAGAGCATTGTTACGTAGTTCATCAATGGAAGACTTTGGTTGATAAAGTATGAAAGTGACATTAATTAATAGGAGCTCGCTTGGCTCTTACCTCGTTTCTGCATAAAGACAAAGAGATCATCAAGAAACTCCTTCCGTTGTGGGTCATTATCCAGTTCATAAAGCTGTAAGTTGGGAAAAAAAAAAAAAACACATCAGCAACAAGCTGGTCAACTGTTACTCTGATTATTTCGGCCATTTTGTTGTTTACATGCATCTACCGAATATACTGACCTTGGCAAAGTCCCTGGATGGTTCTCCTCTGACTTTTCCTCCGTCATTCTCCTCAGCCCAGATGGCACTTCCTCTCTGTAAATACACCCACATAGAGATAACATCAGTGAACAGTTTGTCCTCTTTGCCTGCTTCCACATCAAGTTTAGAAGGTAATTTCCAATTGCTTCCTTCAGACTAAAACCTGATGTACATATGGTGCTGTACTGTGGATGAAACTTGCTTTTTTCCCCTAGCACTGAAATCATGGTTTACTGTAGGATGGTAAACAGCTGGTCATTGTAAGCATCTTGGATGTCTGTACTGCTGTGCTGTTTATATAGTAATGCATATTTCTTCCCCAAAAGTGTCCATTTAAAGCTGTGCACAGTGAAATGGTGATTAATGAAAGGCTCAATGCTCATTAGGAAGTTTAATATGACATGTTATTCCTCCATCACCTCCCCCTTAACATGACAGTTAAAGGTTAAAAATGTGAGTGGAAGGCAGTGTGTGCAACTGTGTGGAAAATCCTGCTGAGAGGTTATTGTCCTGCTAATGCGCACAGAGAGCTGCGCCATGATGCTTGTCTTAAGAATGGTCTGTCATTACAATTACTTAAAGTTGATAATTTTTACCACATTATCCCTCCTATCTTTACTCATAACTGATAATACCATTCATTTATTTTAGGATTATTGTTGATTTAGTTGCAGCTTATGAAATATCACAATGCTATGATATATTTTATTGGCTTGCTTTCTGTATATAAGGCACTCATATTCAGTTCAGTGAACATGTTTTATACTGAAACAAACTTGTATTTTAGACAACAAAACGTGTTTTACCATGGTCAAAAATAATGGCATGTTTTTGGTTTTCCTTCCCTCATTATGATTTTACTTGATACTTGCATTTATCATTTTGGACATTAAACACCTTATCCAATTCACTTAATGTTTGGCATGGCAACATGATAAAACCTGGGGTTGATGACCATAACATTCAACCATTTGAGCTATAAAATACATGGGAACCAATGAAGTGTTGGCCTCCAGTCCAACTGTTTACAGTAAAAACAACTCAAACTGCAAATGCTGACACCACACAGCCGTTGTAAAGCAGTGGTTCCCACCCTTAGTTGTCGGATGTACACCCACACCCCTATCAGAGTTCATTTCGATAGATTTTAAACTGAATGTTATGTAGCACTAGTAATGGGATAAAAGGTGGATATTGTTACAGTAATCTTTTATCCAATTTAACTCAATGTTTAGGTTGGTTTGCATGTGTACTACTAAGTCTTGTAGTGGCAGAACCTGGACATTTTAACCATTTAATCATTACTTTTGGATAACGGTTTTTAATTTAAATTCTTTACTTGAGCTACTCCAGGATCTTTCAACGTACACCTAATTGCAAAAGTATGTTGCCCCTGGTTGGTAACCACAGTAAACTTTTCCTCTTTTAGTTGTTAAACTGGTTAAACAGTACAACTGTATGCATCCACACAAAACTCTGCCCCTGCGGTGGCAGAGCTGTTGACACATCTAATGGCTTCACAGCTTAGAATTTCTAATAAAGGACTTCTACTCCCCCACCAGAAAACGTATTGATGTGAAGGTAGATAAACACCACAGTCTTTTCACCATCAAATGGAAATAAAACCCTTCCCCCCTTATTGATGAGCAAGTGAGACCTACTGTGGATCTATTAACAAAGACCTTTCAGTTAACTGCTCACAGAGTTTTCACACATCCAGCCCTGGGAATCCTGATAGTATTCTATATGTAGGTCAGGAACATTTCTTTTGTCAGCTAGTTTTTTTATTAGGCTTTAGATTACTCGTATTTAAATGACAAATTCTCAGGTTAATGCATATAACTCTACTCTAAGTAGTTCTGTAAAAGTATGTCTTTTCAACCAGTCAAGATTAAAAAAGAAATTTCACTTGAGCTGAAATGTTGTATAAATCATCGAGCATTAACAATAACTTGAAACGACCTCTTATAATAACCTTCATTAAAGAGGAAAAGTTAAAGCATATCCCTCTCCAAATTTCAATGTAACTGCAGGGGGACGAAATTTTTAATCCAAATTCAAATTATTAGGCCTTCAGTCACCCGAACAAGTCAAGATAATTTATCTTGCCCCTTGCTGGGCTATGAACTGAGGGTGAGAGCGAAAAGGGGCTTTTTTACCCCCGCCAATGCAACATTTAAGGGCGTACAGTGAGACCGCACACAAGGAGTGAACAATGGCTGTCTGGCATGGTGAGGCTTGTATAGCTTTGTCCAGATATTCACTGATGAAAGAATGAAAGAAAAAGCTAAAGAAGTAGTAGAGAGGGACACAACTTTAGGGTGAAAAGAGGGTAACAAGCGTAAATCTTTACAACCAGCCACAAATTATCTCACAAAAGGCTAACAAAGTGAACTTATCTTCATGCAAGTCACATAAGACAGCTTCATTGAACAGCTACATATCGACATTTTAAGGCAAAGTGAAAAGCATCTTTGTGTCTGGTTTTCGGCTGCATACCATTTTACTATAAACTTAGCAATGTTTCCTACAAAGCAGTTAGCAACGATATAGAAATCTGTAACTGCTTTTTAGCTTAACTTAACATATAGGTAAACAGAATGAAATTAAACATAAGCAATACCTGCTTGTTAGTTATTCATACAGCATCCAAAGTTAATCTGACCACATACGAAGATGTTCATAAATCTTGACACAAATGGGTCTCAGCAAATGTTTCACATATATTTGTTCTAATGAGAAATGGTTCAGAGATGTTCATTGTGCTTTAATCAGTAGAAAAACAGAATCCAAACCATTTCACACACATGCAATTAAGTTCTTTACAGTTTCTCACAACTCATTATTGTGCTTCAGCTAAAACAGAAGGAATGTTCTTTATCGCTCCAGCTGTTGTGTGCTGGTCTGAGAAAAGGAAATCCATTACCACTGCAGTAGCCATATAATGTATTGATTACTTGCAGCTGAATTAAGCTGCCATTTACTGTTGCCAAGCGACAGCTAAATTATGCAAAGCTACCCACTGAGCTACAGCTACGTCAGCAGTGAGTTCTGAGCCTGTTGAGGTCTTAAAAGAGGCTAATGAACACGTAACCTTTTGAACCATTGTGGATCTTACATTTACAACTTTTCACTCCATGTGCAACTTTAACAAAACTCAGAGGGAAAAGAAAAGCACAAGAAAATATGAAATCTCCCTAAATAATGAACAAGAGGTGGTAAAACCTCTGATAGCAATACCAAAGGCCCCTTCTGCTCCACTGAAACTACTGTAAGTAAACTTTATGGGTAGTCGCTTGCCGGTATGCTGTGAGGCTCTAACCCAGCTGTCCCTCTTCCTACAGGCCTCATTAATCATAATGTATTGTATTGAAATGGGGCCTTTTCAAGGGAAACATACCCACCAGAAGAACCAATCAGATTAGCCACCATAAAAAGGGGAAAAAAATCTACAAGGGCAACCTCTGTTTCCAATATGTAGCCAAACATATCTGTTGAAAAATATAAATGCAAATACTAGCTGTGGGTCTCACATTTAGTACCAGATTTTTCATATTTAAAAGAAGATCTGGCTAATATATATTGAGAGGACACCATACCCAGCAATTCCTTACAGTGGTTAACCATTAAATCACTGTTCATGTACATGCTTGAGGCTATTTAATTAGTCCTCTACTCTCATTCTAACCCGATCTCTGAAGGGCCCGAGCCGGACACTATAAACAGTTAGGATTGGACCACAGCCAAGACCAATTAACTCAGCGGTGGCCCGAATATGTTTTCAAAGTGTCTGACATGAGGTGGAGTATAAAAGAAGGATATCTTTGGCCTGGTGAGTAATTGAAGACTATCAAGTTTGGGCATCTTGCCAAAAGGGACACGCTCCTTTCCTCCACATGTGAGACAACAGGGGGCAGACCAGGCAGCTGTGAGCCAAACTCTGAAGAAGTCAGCAATTAATAAGAGTTAGAACACACACCAGAGACTCAGGCTACTTCAAAATAGAGCTATAATCCCTACAATATATCCAAAAGGTGAACAGATATGGTATAATGTGACAGTGATATCACAATGGGATTTGTTTTTTCTGTAATGTATGAGAGAAATGTTGATGGTAAACAATACAGCAAAGAAAAACATTGTTGCCTTGATTTGGGCGGTCAAATAAAAGATAACTTACTTGTTTAAATGGCTCATCATAGCCCCAGTCAGCGAAGCCATTGGGTGATGTGAAGGCCTGTTGGCCTGCGGGAGACAGCAGCTCCTTCTCCTCCTCCTCCTGTTTTATTGCTGAAGGTGGAGATTCGGACATTTGCTTCACAACAGACGAGTGAGATGTGGAATAAGGAGGGAAGGGGAAGCCTGCAACCTGCTGGAGTCTTGGCTTCTTCACCTGCTGATGAGGCATGTTGTTCTCCTCGTCCTCGTCCTCATCATCGTTCTCTTCAGGCTCCACCATTTCCTGTTCCTCCTCGTCTGAGTCTTCATCTTCTTCATCTGGATCTATTCTGCTGAGATGGCAGTTCAAAGCTTGTTGAGCTGCTTGATAAGTCTGTCCATCTGCTTTGCCAAATAATGAAGAGTCTAGTCTGGAGCCAGAGGCTCTCACTGCAGCAGCATGTTGAGCAAACAGGAGCTGGGCTTGAAGGAGATGTTTCTCTTGCAGGTTTAGGTTCTCAAGTTTGGCCCCTTGTTGTCTCTGCAGATGCTCCATCATCGCCTCCAGCTTCACCCCAGCAGGATTGAACTGTGAATTGCCTTCCTCGGATAAGCTTGACTGTGAACAAAAAATACAAACTTTGAGGAATTTTTATATCTTACTCCACCTTTTACAGTTTGATTGGGCCCTTTTTGCTTTATTGTGCTGCAGCAAATTATCCAAATATATAAATAATGGAAACTGCATTCAACAAGTACAAACATTAAAGGTTGATTAGAGGCAAATTAAAGTTTTACTAAACGGATGCTTAAATATTAGATATATTGTCCGAATAAAATTATTTGGTTTTTGATCTAAACAAATTACCAAGTTTATGTGAAACGTTTTCAAAGAGTCCGTTTCGGCCTCAGAAAGCGCTTCGTGGCTTGAGGCAATTATTAACAGAAATACATCAATTCAGCTGAGAAAAAACTGTAGCAGGGAACACGTTTCCAAATCAGCTTTTCGGCGTCGTCTCTTTATTAAAAGCTACTTAAAAAAGTATGTACTTTCGTATTTTCCTCGGTTTTAAAAATGGAAAAATCAACTCTATTTTACAGTGCGTTTAAATGCGTATGTACGGGCCTACATTAATAAGTACCAAGAAAACCACCGTTTAACCAAAGTTAATCAATAACTAAAACGAAATCTTCGTCGTAAAAGTGGAAACGTTGCTTAAAATGTCTACAGGAACAGTCATTGGCTTTGTTACTGTAACAAACACGAGCGTTACACCAAACAGTCGTCGACACTCACCATTTGCGCCTTTGAGTAATCCATCATCGCCAACCGGTCTTTATCTAGTTTGTTCTTCTTTCCTCCGGCGGAAATAAATCGCATCGCATGACCAGATTTCTTTAAACTGATTCTTCTGATCAAATGTTATTTAAAAAACCCTGTAGTGTTGGAGGCCGGGGTGATCGGCGCTGGAGGAGGGGTAATAATGCTCTGCGCTTTACTGCGCATGGAAACTCAAACAAACTAGCCTACACCCCCAACTTGATGAATGAAAGGCCCGCCCCGTGCGTAAAGCTCGTAAAGTGGGTTTTCTTTCCTGCATCTCCGTGGAACTACCCACCCACTTTACGAAGAAATCCCACCCACTGCTAGTATCCTATACATTTAAGGTAACACGACCTTTAAATAAAAAATAAAAAATACAACAACACAATGTTAGTCAGGAGCTGCTTCATTCACAGTGCGAGTGGCTCTGACCTCTACAACCTTTTCTTTCTCCACTCCTACGTTTAACAGCAGAAACATGACTCTAAGTCATTCATTAGTCATTGGCTATACATTTTTAAGTAATAAGGATTAACTACATTTAACAAAAAGTGTGTCATAAGTGCCACGTAAAATGTTTCAGAGGCCGGCAGACAGAGGCTTGTTACTCTTTTCCTGTTTTATTGACACTGGGGGATTTTAAATTATTTGTTTTTTATCAGAATCAGTCTTTTATTGGCCAGGTATGTGTGCACATACACGGAATTTGACTCCGGTTTTACGTTGCTCTCAATGTACAAACACAGATTAACAGCATAAATAAACAGTTCAACAAAAAAGACATAAACTTATTATACATATCCATAAACAAACATTTGTAAACAGTAGACAATAATGCAAAGGATGCTGAAATAAATATTTTACGTGCAGGTATCTTTATGTACATGATGTAGGTGGATATGGCAGAGTCTACTGTACATACAGTACATACAGTATGTACTGTATGAGTAGATGTATTAGAATAATATTTTTGTTTTATCCTTTTTTTTTTTAATGAGCACTGATAGTACAGGATATGTACATAGATACAACATTCACAAAATAACTTTGGACCAATGCTCACATCATTATTTTGTATGAGTTATTCTAAGCTGATGGGGATCCAACTGAATTATAAAGAATAAAGAACCTGTTTGAGGTTCAGTTTCATTTAATAGAACCATGTTTTTGGCACCATGGTGAAGATCTAATGTGCTTCTGTTTTAAATTTGCCCAACATGTGTGACATTGCTTGAAATCTTGCTTTCATGGGCATCAGTGGTGAAAGTGACTCCTACACTGCCACAAAGTGCCCGAGGCAGAGGCTGCTGACATGGCTGATTACAGGATACAAGCAAATATCAAAGTCAAGAATAAGCCTTCATTAAGCTCAAGATTTCTGTTTCTGAGAGAGCCTCAAGCAGAAAGATTACTTCAATTGAGAAATAAATCCCATAATTTATTCACACAAAATAGAAGTCAAATGGTTTATCAGACTTGAAAGGGACACTTGCAAGTATAGAAATTCCTCTCAAACTAACTCCTCCAAAATCTTTCTCTCATATAAGTCAAAGCGAACTTGTAGCTGTAGCAGATGCAGCAGGGTGATTTTCTTTAATCAACTTTAAGTTAACTAATTAAAGTAAGCCTATAAGCACTTACTCTTATTTGGCCTGTTAAAGAAGTTATTTACTTACTTCAAATAATGTCCAAGGCTGCAGTGAAGAAAGAGCTCTGAAATACTTTACTCAACTCAGGTTACTTTAGGTAAAAGTGGATCTTATCATTATGCACATATTTTGTTTTTTTAAAAGAGAAAACATATAATAAATGTGTACGACTTCAGTTTAGTTTGACAGTTAGATTTAACCATCAACATTTCTACTGGATGCATTTTCTGCTATCTCCAATAAAAGGAGATAGTTATAACTGACAACATTCATCCCAAAATTATCCATAAAGTATAATCTATATATAAAAATCATTATTTCTTTTAACTGTAGGAACAGCCTAATGTCCCACAAAAAATAAAAATTATAATTCAAGCTGTCATTTTCAGTGTCTCTTCACCAATAGTCGTTATGTGTCCATAATAACTTGACACCATTTGTCATTCGAACAAGTTTATTTTACCAGCATGTAAATTTTCCCTGAAATGAAAACAGATGTAATATAGATTGATACAGTAAAATGATTTTTACATTCATGTGAAAACGCTGCTCCCTGGTGGCAAAATGTGATTCTCACAAGAACGTCCAGACACTCACGGAACAACATGCATCATAAAGTGACGCTCTGCTCTCTATTAAAGCAACTTGAATGAATTGAATGTATTGCTTCAATAAGTATTCAAACTATTTAAAATATCCCAAACATAGTTGTGACACTCAATAAAGATACATTTTCCTTTATTAGGTTCATCAATATTTTACAAGCAAAAGAACTTAATAAAGGCAAAATTAAATATCACACGTATTACAGGAGGCAAACATTAAAGTACAAGGTTTGTGTGTCAAGGGGATATCCACCGTCGTTAGATCTGAAACAAACAAACAATATCTGTTAGACTGCCATCTTATGACATGGTGGAGGAAAGAAAACACATGACTGGTAAGAGAATTTTAACACCTACTCATCTACACTTTGTCAATGCCGAGCTCTTCGGGTGTAGAGATGCCAAGCTCCTCTAATGTTGGCTTCAGCTCTTGGATCACGTATGGGTAGATATCTTTATGAGGGCCGGCTTTGTCCTGAGGATATAACAAAATGGTAGAACCCAAATTAATCATTAACTTAAACAACGAGCAACTGCAAAAGGTGCTGGCTGGCAACACTTCTTGGGATTTTTACCAAGCTCAGAAACTGGCTCTCGCTCTCACCTTCACAGCTTCCAAAATTCGGATAGCGCTGGCCAAGTCATTTAGCCTCCGACAGGCTCTCAGCGCTGCTTCGAGAATCTTTGGCTCAGGTACCAGATCATAACCAATCAATGTGTTCATCCCTGAAAGAAGGAATTACACTGTTTAATTAGAGATTAGGAGCAGAAAGAAACCCCAAACACTTTTACTACAATCCACTTTTTTTCATTTCATCTGTTATTTAAAAGATAAAGCAGGTGATATTCTATATTTTCTCTTTGTGAATACATCCCACAAAAAGACCAAAACCAATAATGAACTGGTCCCACTAAAAAGTAGGTTTCCTTTAGTCTCATATACTGTATCTTATCCCTCTGATCTCCACAGTTACTGGGTTCCTTCATTAGAATAAAACATGGGCATAGTAGTTTATTTTGAGCTGATCCCACACCAAAAGTACTCACTAGTGTAGTAAGTGTATATAGCTTGTTTGTGTCACGTTTGTGTCAGCCATGATGTATTCTGTTGGCAGAGTCTAACTGGTGAGACATTTCTGCAGTAGCTAGCGGTGTGAAATGCAACACTCGCACCATCATATGCATCAGTAAAAAAAGTGACATTCACAAGACTGAATGCTGCAATGAACACTACCATCGTATTTAGAATGCCTAAATATATATGTATGTAATGTCCCAACACCACGAAGGACATTCCTGACTCTTGGCTAGTTACATCATCTGACCGTTACATCATTTGTCATAATATAGTATTAGTATATAGTATATAATATAATATCATGGATCTTGTTGTTAAAAGTTAGGTTCCTCTGGCTTATTCTAATACACCTAATAATATTTGCAAGAATCCACTGAGCTTGAACAAAAACAGCCAATCAGAGCTGAGAAAGGTAGTTGATTGTTGAATGTCATTCCTAGGTCGTCAAACCACCAACCCAAATCTTGGCTCTGATTGACAAATGTCATTATGAGCACTAGGAGGAGCCAGAGAAATCAGATTTTTTCACAGATCATCAGTCTCAAGTTCTTCTGTCAGAATATAGTGGAAGTTTCAGCAAATATGACAAAAGAATATTTTAATACAGCAGTTTTAGGCTAATTGTGAATTGTTATGGCTAAAACGAAAGCTGTTCACATGTTGTCTAACTGCTTATCTCAGTTTGCCATGAATCTTAAAATGTGTTAGTTCTTATAAAGTGCTGGCTGAAACGGCAGCAACAGAGGAAGGAGGAGAGGAAGAAGGACCGATACTGACTAGGGATGAGACCCGGTTCCAAATTTCTCAGATCCTGAAAATCAATAAGGTCTTCATTCTGTACAAACTTGACTCAGGACTATGATTTATCTTATTGACATTTTAGATTTGTTTCCAGTGAGACAGTAATGAGTTTATATAGTGACCTTACTGCTGTAAACTTTACTGTTGCCACTCTAGAAACAACATTTAGTTGAATTTTAAATATAAATAAATTCTAATTCAGTTCAGGACATTGGGTTTACTTCATCAATGAGCATATTTGTTTCATGTCAGAGTCATTTGAGGTAATTTTTTGTTAAATGACACACAATTTTCTTGGAGGAGGACCCCCAAGCACACACCACAATTACACTTAAGGAACCCAAATGGCCAGCAGCGGCCCTGATTTAAATGGATGCAATCTTTCATGCATAAACGTACCTTTTCTCAGCTCCCATGCGTCAATGTCTGGCTTGTTGAAATAGGTGACCCAGCGGGCATCAAACTCCTCATCCGTCTCCTGTTTCCCATGTGAGTAACACCTTGAGGCCAAAAGAGCTGCACAATGAAAACACCATTTTTTAGAAGGACAACTTATCACCAATAAAACAATGCACTACAGTGGCATCTAGAGCCAGGTAATGTAGAAGGGCAAACACAGTCAAGGGTATCTGCACTGAGTGAGGTGGAAAGAGGACAAATGCTGTCTAGTATGTAATGCAGCTGGAGCACTGCCAAAGTCCTTACATGACCTACCTACCAGACTGAATACACACTGATAAAGAGATTAATGTTTATACTATTGCTTTTATGATAAATCTAATAGGATGTGGGATAGTAATTGTAATTCTCTACATCTACATAATTTAACTTCCCTGTTAGACGAAGACAGTGAAGCAAAGGTTTAGCTGAAACAACACCAGAGTAATGTGCGTTTCCTGGTTGTGATTGTTTGCACCAAATCATACCTTGATGTCAAGAACAGTAGCTAGCCAGCTGGCAACTAACCTAGTTAGCATATTAGCAACTAGCAGTAGGCCCGACACTCAGCCTTCATAATGGGTCATGGCAAGGACACAGACACTACCGAGCCTGGCACCGGGACATTTTCAGAGCAGCACACACTCGTGTAATGTTAATATTGAGAGTAGTAAACGAGAATCACCTCAATCTGACTAAAAAAAACCCAAAGTGTAAGAGTGCGGTGAGCATTAAAAGTGTTACACTGTCTTAAGATGATGATATCTGCCAGCTAGCTTAGCTGCGCGGCGCCGCAATGTGCCGACAGCCACACTTGACTTCCGTCAGAACTTCGCCTAGACAGGTTCATTACATACCAAATTACAGAATAACAGTCAGAGGTGATAACCGAGGGAACAAATACCTTGGCACCCGGGTTGTGTACGGGTTAAACTCCGGACACCGGAGACCGAGAGTCGGACGGCGGCTCTGAACATGATGCGGGACAGCCAGCTACACGAACCGGGAGATTTCTGAGGAAGCTAGCGTTAACTGCTTCGCCGGTCACGTACGCTATACGGGTCTGCGCATGTGCAAACTGCAGCTCATTGATATTTTTTCTGTATTGTTGACCTACTGACTCTGACTTTGACTTCTAAATAATACTTTAGTTTGCCCAAAATTTACTTTTTTTGTTTTCAGACGAGCTGCTCCCAGTGGAAAATGAATCAACATATTCACATTATATTCTCACAGAAAAGTTCAGTAATCATTTATTTAAGTGGGTATAAAAACTTTACTTTAGCCTATAAAAAAAATACTTCAAGCGGAATAAAATGCAGCTGCTATATGAGACCCAGTTAATATCATTATGACATTAATTTGAATGACCCCACTAACAAGTAGTCCCTATAAACAGTGGCGGTTTAAGGTGCTCATGGGCCTCTGGGCTAGTATTTGTGTGGGCCCCTCCGTGGCCAGCTGCAGCAATAGTTTCTGGCGCCTTGGAGACTTTAAATGGCATCAAACATATATGCTGATTTAATCACAATTACGTCAATAATTGCTTGGAAAAGCTCCCAAATGAAGATATATGAACTCAGAAACATTATTGTGCCACATGAGTAAAGCACTGAATAAAAATATGTAAAGGTGGCATTATAAATTTTTTTTTTTTTTTAAATTACAAATCTTCATACATTTTTACAAATAGGGGAGACTGGGGTGAGATGAGCCATTTTTCATATTTAGGATCACTACATCAAGGCAGTCATAGTTTTGTCGCTAACTAATATATCTGCATATATTTCAGGATGTTGTGCATCCCTTCAAACAAACAGAATGAGTGTAAACACAACTGTTTCAATAATATAGCATGTCCAAAAAAGTGGTCTCGTGGCTCAATTTACCCCATGTATGGGGTAAATTGAGCATAGGAGCGGCGTAAATTGAGCCATATCCCTACTCCCACCCCACCCCTCCCTCACCTTCTCCCTCCCTAAATAACACTCACTTGTTCACATTCATGTGTATTTTTATTTATTATACACAATTCAACAGGTACAATAACTTTTTTTTATTATTATTTCATATTACTGCTTAACAGCTGTTTTGTGAAAAAACATTTTAACATGAGAATGCCTTAAAGTGCGCTTAGGAAGAGAACAATAACAGCTGTGTTTTTGGAATATACACAGAATATCTTTTTGGATACACTTATTAAGTGTATTTTGGCTGTAGCCACCGGCTCAACTTACCCCAGAGCAACCATTTTGACTTTATTAGTCCCCACTGCTAAAATGGGGCACTTTTATGCTAGGTTTATGACCTCATGTTGTAGCTCATAGATACCACAATTGATGTATAAAACAAATTTAAAATGATCTATTTTGGTCTAAACACAATTCTCATGAAACTTATGATAGACTAATTTCACTTTCAAGAGTGGAAATAAATATCTAACCACTTCACCCATGTGGTTCTTACCTTCACAGACTCCATGAAATGATGCCTTCCTCCTTTTCGGTCACATGATCAATGTTTTTTACCATTTCCTAGCAACAAGGGGTGGCTCAACTTACCCTTTGGCTCAACCCCAGTCTCCCCTACAGGTTCTCACTGAACTTAAGCCCATTACTTAGACCAAAAAATGGCCATAACAAATAATTAAATTAATGTCTGTTTTTTAAAATGTTATTTTTAAAATTAAACTGGAGCAAACAGGAGTGGCAGCTGGGATGGCCAGGTATTTTTTTTTTTAGCTTTCTATAGCAACAGGTACAATATCTGCAGCAGAATATAACACGCTGTTTTACTGAGGCAAAATCACACCATCATTACTGAACCAAATAGTCTGGCCAATCCGGGCCCCTTGTACTCGTGGGGCCTCTGGGCTGCAGCCTAGGCCAGCCTATAAAGCAGTATCAGATTTTTGATAAGATTTGTCTATCGGCTATATTCTGTCAGGATGAGAATGTCAGAATGGGAGTTAAATAGTCCCAAATCTGGCATTGTTGGAAATTATTTTTGCTTTTAACTTTTTTACTACAACAGATAAATAAAGTCTGCCAGATTACATGTTTTGGAATGCAGGTGCATAAAACAGGTTTGTCTCCAGGTTTACAGGGTTAAAATAAAAGATGTGCATACACTCTCCAACACAAAAGAAAACGTCAAAGTTGATTTCCAAACTAGTTCATTTATTCCAGTGATGTTACATCCAAAAAAGGGACAGCATCATCATGAAACTCTTTACCAAAATATTCTGGTCCCATGATCCATTAATGTACGTGAATTCACTTCAAAAGTACAAAACAGAAGAAAAACTACAGATGCAAACCTTGATGTTTATATTTACAATGACTGTGACCAACTTTGTGTATGTTTACAGTGTTTGTTGACCTTTTGCATCAGAATCAGCTCTCAGGTTACTAATATATGACTACTAATGTGACTATTAATATCGCAGCTAATACTCATTAATAAATACATTACTTTTCATAACAAAGTTACTCAGTTGCAAAACACAGATTTAAATTTTTACATGCACATCAACAGTTTGTTGATACTAATTATTATAATATATATAAGTATGATCACCTTTTATTCATTCTCAGTGAAGCTTAGAGTTGGACCAAGAAGCCGTGCTGCAGAGTTGGGGTGGTCTTACAGTGCCCGATGGCCTGGGTGGAGAATAGCAGCTTTAGTTGCGTAATACCTTATTACATTAAAATATAAAAGTTTAAATTCCCATTTGATATTTTAGGTGAAAAAAGACCAACCCTCTGAACAAGCCTAACATATACTGTATGTTAATTTCACATGATGCATTCAGACTTTGGGCGTTTGTGTAGAACATACAGTCCAGTCATCCGGGCAGACTCTCTTTGCTGTGTGCTGTGAGGAGGGACTCTGAGCTGGCCTAAGCAGAGCTCTCCGTCTCTCTGCATCCTCTGTGGGAGTTTGGGGGGGTTGGTATCCAGGTTCCTGGGGATCCAGAGGGTCTTTAGAGAGCAGGATACAGATAGCAGGGACTGTCCTCTGCATTGTTATATCTGGAGATCCCTGTTGTGGACTCTCCCAGACCTCATTTACGGTCCTGTAGTGGAGCTTGGACACCTGGTGGAGCCCTCCCACTTTACGTTTCAGAATCTCCACACAGGTGATGGTCTTAGTGACTCCTCTGCCTGAGCCAGTGAAGACCACCTGTCTCAGTGATGTCCCATTGCCATCTTTTCCCTCCCCTTGCATGCGAGCTGTTGCAAACCGCAGCAAATTGCGGATCTTACTGCCTTCTTTCACTCGCATGTGCAGGATGTCTGCTGCCAGGCCGGGGATCGGACAGGGACTGCTGTCCTCTGTGCGGCTGACTCTCTTGAAGTTGCTCCCGCCAAATTTTGGAGACGAAGATGAAGATGAGACATCAGGGTTGATTGAAGCAGACTGTAGGTCCATTACAGTGCTGCTTGTCCCATTTGAACTCTTCATCTGACCCCTGGGTTCAGTCATTGTTTAGAAAGCGGTGAAATAATAATCTGAGCATCGGATTGTTTGCATATCTTCCTTGAGATCGGAAACACGTTTCTTGTTCATTTAGTCTAAGAAACCAAAAGCTGATCAGCTTTGTAATCCAAACTTGTGACTTATCTTGATCTTCTTTCTGTCCACTGTACATACTGCATTTCCATTTTGTCTTTTGAGCACCGAGATGACAGCTAGCAGTATGAAGAGGGTATTTCTTCCTCTAATCCCATTGACGTGAAGGAAAAGATGTCCTTGCTCTATTCAGCACTGAGGACAGCTGATGCCAACAAACACATATGAGGCTCAGAGAGAGACATGTAGAGTGGGACATAGTGCTCTTAAAGGCACATGCAACATTTAATAATGTCTGTCACATTGTAGTTTGTTGGTTTTGGAGGGAAGCTTTTGTTAAACCCTTGAGGGCTCAGAGATTTTATTTGTCCATGTGGTTGCTTGAATTATATGGATGAATAAACACGAGTTAATGAGATTTAACAAGGCATGCAGTTGAATCAATCCTTTGTTTCAACTGAATTGGCTTTGATTGTTGACATTTCAATGTGCCTTTTTGCAGATATTGCACCAAACTACAATTTCATTGAGGCAAAGATTTTTAGAAATAATATAATAGTTACGGCAATATACGTGTATATCATGGTTTTCAAGACAACTTCCCCTCTGCACTATCATCAGAGAGCCATATGGTCTTTGAGAAATGTCTTCCTTTGGGCTATTACCGCAACTTCACAGTTCTCCTCCCTTCAGTCCATCGCCTGCTGGGCTGACCCAGAAAATGCTTGCTACATCATTTGTGCCTCTTTTGAATCAGTGACATTTATAAGGACAATCATACCTTGGAGCCAAATTGCATTAAATCATAAAGCCAGAACTGTATCCAGATGCAAACAGAGGTGTTTTCCTAGGTGCTTCTTTTAAAGGAGCAGAGCCATGGGAGGAGGTCAGGAGGCAGCTGTGGGGCTCATATGGAACCAGTATACTGTTATAATGGTGCACTTCTGCCTCACAGGATGGTACGCACCCCATGATATTCACTGACTCGAACAATGAGCACAAAGACTTGGTTCTCAATGGTGTCAATAAAGTTCAAGGCAAATTACAGTTGGTTCCCAGGAGAGAAATCCACTGGCTATGAATGTCAATTAAATGCACATTAACTGACCATCAGTGAATATATTCCCATCGTGAGAATATTGATAAACCATTTAGAAAATTGGTGTGCCATAAAAACTCTCAATTTACTATTTAAGTATAAAGCCGATGATAATTTTGTGCGTGTGACTCCTGTGACACATCTGGTGTGTTATGCAGTTGTTTAGTGTTGCAGAATGTAACACAGAATCAAGTCAACATTCAAGCTGTGAATGCAGACTCCTATCTAACTTTAAAATCTGTAGTGTTATCTACTTACAGACATTTATAAGAATAACTGCCATTACACAACAATTATGGGCTTTTATTGCCCCTGTGTTAGCAATAAAAAATCCATCAGAGTAGTTGTTATTGGTTACACTTCCATCTTGTGGTAAAACACACGTATTACACAAATAACAATGTGGACCTTCAAGCAGTAAGCAATCTGCATTAACAAGTCATCGGAAAACATTTGATATGTTAAATAAAAGAACCAAATATTGTAAACTTTTATTTAAAAAATGTGTGGTTATAAAAATGTACAAAATATGTATTTACAGTACATAGGTATGACACTGGCGGTAGACACAAATCAAATTTAAATTACACCGGACTGTAAATTAAGGTATAAGGCAAAAAAAGCTTTTACAGGTGGGCATTGTGACACAACAAACTAGTTTCTTCCATCTAATATTATTGCAGTTGACAACAGAAAGAAGAGATGCCCTTCTCCTTCCTTTTGAGTTAAGGTTTTTCATTCAAACAAAAGTTGATAAAAGCGTCTCATTGTTAACTTGTCAAAACAATAAAAGCCAAACTTAATAAATTCAGCCACAAAGTAACTAAGACCTATTCAGACAGTGTTTTTTTTTCTTGCTTCAAAGCTGTGCTGAGGCAATTACTTGTAAAATTTCCCTGTGGATTCTGGCTTCCTGTGTGTTGATGTGGACATCTCCCACCTGGCCATTCTCATACCTGAGAAAGACAAAGACAGAACGTCGTGGAAATCTGAAATATAGTCTGGAAATTTCTTATTACACTGGGAGGCAGAAAGGTTGCTTCATGTTATACTCACACAAAGAGGAAACGTGTGCACACATGGTCTGATATCGGACACACCCAAATGTTTCCATGTTTTTGAAGGTCCTTTGAAGTTATCACTGTCAAGACATACAGACACTTTTTAAACAATGTCACAAAATCTGTTCTTGTATTATCAAAACTATGCTCTTTGTAACATGTACGTGTTATTTCAAATTTACCTTCGCAGAGAGCGATGCAGTTTAGGTTCCTGTTTTGCAGAAACCTGGTTTGCCCCGGCTGGTCCTAAGATAAGAACAGAATATGGAATGAGATACAAAAATCCAGAATAGATGGAAAAGTTTGCACTAATGTGATTTATAATTTACCTCTTGAATTTTGTTTATTTGGTTGTATTTCTTTATGCGTTCTTCTCTGGTGGGTATGTGGTGCTGCCCTTTACCCATCTCTGAACAAAGAGGAGGGATGAGTTTTAAGAATACACTGGAATCAATAAGAAATGGTAATCTTTGTATAAATAGGTAATCTCATGTTTGCATTCATACCAGAATATCCAAATGATATGCTTGAGATTGGACTCAGATAGATGCCTTTCCCATATGCAGCTCCATGAAGCTTAAATAAGAATAATAAGAAAAATGTGAGATTGTAGCAAATGAACACTTAATAATTTCAAATCAATTTCAAATCTCCACCATGAAATTAAGATTATATTAATTTAGCTAAAAATACTCTACCTGAAATTTTGTATAGGAGGCATTTACCAGCCCATTTCTCAAGATAGAGTGCCAGTTTTCAATGTGGGAACCACTGAGAAAGAGAAAATAGGGTATATAATAGGGTATATGAAGCAGGGGGTTGTATTCTGTGTATATGTTTTTATGAAGGTTTTATATTGGTGGCACAGCTTTCATGTAACTCACTGGAAAGCAAAGGTGCTGCCATGAAGTTTCCTGGCAGTTTGAAAACGAGCCTCTTTGGATGGAGGGCCGCTGATCAACAGGAACTGATGGGGTGTGTGCATGAACTTTAGTTGCTGTTGTGCACCAAATGATAAGAAAATATATGAGAGAGTGACCACAGAATAAAATGTATATAAAGTGTAAAACAAAGTATGTCATCTAATATTTGGCCACTTATAAACTACTACTGTTGTAAAACTTGCAACAAAAACATGTTAAAACATCAGACTCTAACTGTGAACTACTCTATCATACCCTGTTCCATGGAAGCTTGACAATGTGTGATCTGTTGCTTGCTAAAATCCTGTTGTCAAACATACAAACACACACACTTGGATATGAGTCTAAGAGATATTCATATTTGATGCCATGCCAAGTTCATGAAATAGGATACAAATATGAGTGAAAGGCTTGTTTGGATTGTGTCACTCACCATTGTAGTAAGGGATAAGCGAGAGGGTCTATCTTGTCCATCTGCTTCTTTATTTCAGAATAGGGACCCTGGATATGATAAACACAGTTTAATCCATCTAACATTAATGCAGCTGTCAAGGAAACAACAGCTTTTAGATTATTCTCAGATGAGGGGAACCAAATGTGAAAAATTGTGTCACGAGTGAAGGATTTATTTTAAGATCAGTCACCTGTGCCATCCTCCTGATTAACAAGACACTGTCCAGAGCTTTTTGCAGCCTATTGTAGCTCTTTCTCTGCCATAACAAAACAATACATGATTGCTTCATAATTAAAAAAGAAAAGACAATGATTAGGCCATCACAAAACAAGTAAATCAGAAATTACAGTATATTAAAGTTCAATTGATACCTTGGGACTAAAGGCCAGGATTTTGGGGTTGAATGGATCAACAACCGAAGGGTACGGTTCAAATATGATGCCCTTGCGTGAAGACTGAAGGGCAGCTCTGCACATGGCCACCAGGAGGTCAACAACCTGCAGAACAGACATTATTGTAATATAGTAATCTTATTTTATGATCATCTGGACTACCTAATAACGATATGTGTGTGTAACCAACCTCTGCGCCAGTGGCCACTTCATCTGTAGCTCCAGACATAACCCCCAATGTATAAAAGGAAAAGACACATAGCTCCCTGGTGCAGACTGCTGGCTAAAAACACGCAAAACAGAATAGTGTCAATATGTTAAGAGTCAGCTTTATTTCTATTTTCACTTCAGTAGATTAGCCACAAAACCACCAGCTAGTAGGAGCGCACCTTTAACATCGGGCCGTTCTGAATCACATGTCGCTCATCACAAACAACGCAGTATTCATTCAGCGTGGGGATTCTCTGCTCAGCATACCTCATTATCTGTGTACACAATGAAAAACATTACACATTGTATCTGCTTCACATTAGCTAGAACCAAAATTAAAATTGTTAGTATTGTTTTAACATTTAAGAACCATTTTACAACATTTTGCCCAAACACAAACTACATTATGGTTTATTTATTTCTAAATGATCCATTTCAAAATAAATTCCAAACAGCTTATTTACAGCTCATTTGTGTCTCTTTGTGTCTCAAAAAGTGCTCAAAAATGGACATTTGACAATTGAGGTTAATTAATGACAATTCTTACATTTCTATGACAACTGGGTATCTCTGTCTGCTGAGGAAGATTATGTGACATGATAGAGAGCTCTAGAACAGCTACTGAGTGGACCTTATAGTGAGATGGTTTTGTCAACGGTTTTTAATTTATATTTCTTTTGAAATTGTTTTGTGATATGCAGAAATATTAGAGTAAATTGTTTCCATTGTACGATCTGTGAACTGGAAATGGCACTGGAGATGGAGATAGTGGGTGCTTCTGTTTACCAACACAAGTATTAGCATTGAACCATAGTAAATCACTGCCGTATAGGATGGGGAAAGACCATGTGAGCACCACTAGTTGTCAGGGCAAGCTGGATTGTGAGTCTCTGTGCAGTTTAACCCAACTCTTTAAAGTCTCTTTCCGACAAAATATAATTGTAATTGATGTCTTATTCTTTACCTGCACCAAGAAGCCGTGCTGCAGAGTTGGGGTCGTCTTACAGTGCCCGATGGCCTGGGTGGAGAATAGCAGCTCTATCAGCTGTTTGGTACTAATCTGTGCTGATGACTTCACTGCTGATACCACCACCCTCTGTGCATGAAAGGACACAAAAACTACTATAAAACACTAACAGAACTTAGAGACAAAAACCTGGAAACATTGTCACAAACACAGCAGCAACCATAATGTTAAATGTATGTTACAGAGGTGTAGTTTGAGTTATATTTACTTCAGCTGGAGAGAGAGCCTTCGCATTTCCACTGGGTGTGTAGTTGAAGAGCTCTCCTGTGGGATTCTTGATGGTGTATGAAGGTGTATGATTCGTGAAAGGGTTCAGTTTCATTGCTGGCAAAATGATCCTTTCTTTCACAGCTGGTTCCTGGAGCTCATTTGACCTGCTCACAGTGGGTGAGAAGGCAGTCAGTAGAGACTCAAGAACAGATTGAATCAGTAATAAAACTGCTGAATTGAAACATACTTTGATAGCGGGAGCCAGACGTTAAGCCTTGCACGAACTTTCTTGATGGTTCCACTTGGCCTGAACCAGCTTTGTCTCCTCTTCTGACGGACTACGATGTTCTCGTTGGTCAGATGTTTCCACTCCCGAGATAAGAAGACGGTGAGAATACTGGGGAACAGAAACAAAGAGTTTGTCAGTAGTGACATCTTTTATAATGTGGAGCCTTCTGCAACACGCATTTAAGAAACTGCCATAAAAAATAAATATAGTTTGAACACTCACTTCTGAAGTTGTTTCCCAAGGCTGAAATCGTCTGTATTGGATGGTTGAAAGACTTCAACTGAAGGTGCTGTGGTGAGAAACATTACCTAATTAGATGTCACACTGACTCATAGTAAAGTAAAGTAAATATATATTAAATTTGGCTCACAGCAGTATTGTTGATACCCACCGGGTCCGTCCAGATACTGAGACAGAGAGAAGTGCAGACGGATAACGATGGGCTCTGATGGATTAATCCTCCAGGCCTGGGCCACTTCCTGCTGTGGACACCAAACAGTTTAATCATGTTAACCAGGCCAAGATGCCCCAACAGCAAACAACATACTGTATGTGAATTGAGTGTACTGTAAATTTAACTTACATTCAAAAGCTTGGCATTTATGTTTAGGTCAACATCCACACCATCAATTGACCCATACTCCCTGTCAGAGGAAAGGGGAGGAGAAATGTTATGTATGAAAGCAGCACATGTCCTCTCCTTTAAAATAATAAGAAGAGATGTTCTGACCTGACAGAGACTGCAGAGTCTGAATACAAAGTCCTGACTGCCTCTATATCAGTATCCAGCTGGGGGTGGTGATACAGGTCAGTGGCGCAGCTCTCCTGCCGAGACAAACACAAACACACTTACTTTATGGTCCAAACAACCCAGCACCACAGGGGGCTGAGGGATTAAACCACTCACAGATTTTTACCACAATGTCTGAGAAGCAGACTTTTATTCCCATCACGACAAGAAGTTTCCTAAGATAGTTTTAAAATGTGAGGAACAATGTTTTTCTAGTATTTATTTAGCGTTTAATAGCAATATAGGTTTATAAACAATTAATAAATGGTTAATAACTTACTATAAGACACAATACAAGTGTACTGTATTTGCATATCTCCTGTGAGGGATAGCGAATGATTAAATGTCATATTTAACATAATTACAAGTCATTCATTAATATGCTGAATATAATTATAATAAATTGTAGCCATTATATTAATGATGTATTTATTAATTTAGAAATACTTCTTCAGAATCAGAAATATTTAATAATTCCTGGGGGAAATTACTTTTAGGGGGGGAGAAAACAAGAGGAGAGGGGAGGAGAAAAAGGCAGCTCCCAGACTCTGCTCCTGTAGGGGAGTACAGTGTGGGACTGGGAAAAAACCTCAGCAACATAAGCACATATGAGCACACTTTACAACATAAGAACTCAAAACAACTTGCACTGGGGGAGGTGGGAAAGGGGTGATGGAGGCGTACCAGCGCAGACTCTCATAAACAAGATGCTGCTGAAAGGACCTTGAGTTAACTATTTCTGAGGTCAAGAATGAACCTTGAAGCTCAACCTGTCTTCATAATTTCTGAACACATTTTTAAATAAATGTTTTTTAAACCTGCTTGTGAATGATCTGTAGACAGATGATAAAGGAGTTGTTTTTGTGTGTGATCATTTATAATAAATATGTTCCAGTGTCTAATCAATCATTTATTACCTGTTTATACACCTGTTATTGATGCAATTGACACTTTAAATTTTACACCATTGCCACTCCAACATCCAGTGACCATATACAGTACTTCTGTAGGTAGTTGTCTTTACTCAACTGTGTGATGATAATTGAGATTGTGCTGAAATAATATACAAAGTGATGCTTACATGAATTCCACACAGGATCTCTTCTGTGTCACTGTCCTCGTCAGTTTGGCTCTCTGGCCACTGAAGGGCACACTCACACTCAGTCTCCTGTCGGGTTAATGAGAAGAGCTGTCATTCAAAAGATCCTCTTATTTACAAAGCTAATTTGGTCCTTCTGTCCACCCAAACAAAGTCAGCTAAGCATGCTTCTGAGACTGCCACTGACTTCAACACGTCCTTACCATACTACATGTATTGTAGACAGTAAACATTTCAATTATGTTCTTGATTAATAAATGTATTATTTTTACTATAAAATGTCAGAAAATAGAGACCAAATTACCTAGTTAGTCTTTTTTTGGCAGACCAGCAGTCCAAAACCCAAAGATATTGAATTTAATATTGTAGAAGACTAAAACAAATCACAGAATAGAAGCTTGAACAAGTGAATTTATGGTATTTTTTGCCTAAGGAATGATAATGATTTTGCAGATTAATTCTGCCCAACTAATCAATGAATCAAATTTGATTTTAGTTCTAAAAATAGAGATACCTTTCAAACCTACTTATGTGAAATTAATATATTATGAATGGGAGAGGGAAATTTGGGGCTTATATACTCACCATGTGTTCAGTTCTTTGGCACTTCTTCAGCAACAATCAGCACTTTGTTGAACACTATGCTGGACAAACACATGTAACTTAGTTACTAGTTGTTAGTTCAGCTACCTCTACAATATATATATGAACATATTACTGTCATTAATGTCACATTAATGATACTATTATTTGCCTCCCTTTATATCAGCATCTCCAGGGACATTGATTACAGTGTGTGGGGGGTACATGAAATTTAAAAGTAAGTGATGAAGCTAATGCCGGCTCATTAAAGGAATCTGCCCCCACCAGAACATGAGAGAGCCTCCACATGTTGTTCGATGCTAGACGACCTGAGATAAACCCACTTGATCAATATGGACTGTGGATGGAAAGTTTTTGCCAGTATCTTACAATAACAATTCCATAGCCTAAAGGCAATTTCCCTTTTGTGTTAGTTTTTTTATCCTGGGTTTGGCAAAAGGGATATGATGGCTTTATGGAGGGTGGCACAGTTTCACATTCAGCAATCTCTTCATACAGTAAAAGTAGAAGAGGTGATATCTGCTTTTTAAAGAATTTGTCAAATCTGTCCTGTCCTGTGCGTTAAAGGGGGCATCCAACAACTGATTATCTAACTCACTAACAGAGGGCAGCTTCACATGCTCAGAGAACTGATCCATGTCCTCTGACCTGCATTGCTCTCTGCTTCGTATATTTGGATTGGTATAATACTGTTTAAATAAATGACTAATTCTCTCTACATCACATCAAGGTTTTTAATTTTCATCTCTAATTGCTGGAATAAACTGTATATTTTCTGTATGCTTTATTCTATTAGCTAGCATTTTGCCTGTATTGTCACCCGCCTCAGAACGAAGCCTTCGTGCTCTAAATAAAGCATAAGCTGTCTCCTCATGTAACATGGTCTGGAAGTCTGCTCGAGTGGCAAGAAGAGATTTCCTAATATCTAAGTTGAATGGGTGAGACACATGCTGTTCCTCCAAACTCCTTAGTTTGTCACATAATTGTAATGGTCACTCACAAAAATGTGGTTAATTTGAGTGTTAATTATGTTTTGAATAAGATCTTAAAAAAACATAAGGATTCGGTCTATTCTAGAATATGTTGGTTTAAATAGAGAGTATATTCCCGACTGACAATATGCCACGCATCTGTAACCAATAGCAGTTCCTGAAACTCTTACGTAGCAGCAGAAATACACCGATCAGACGGAAGGTGGCAATTAGATCTATTTATACTGCATTTGACACACATTTAAAATCACCTCTAACAATAAGGGGCCATCAGCATATGATTTGTTAGGGGCATAAGCATTTATGAGCATGGGCATTGGAAGTAGGGGTTCTGCCCCATAAAATATGGCATAATGAAAACCATTAGTTCATAAAAATGTTTAAGCTTATAATGAAAAATAAGTAAAATCACTTTTATCCACAAAAAAGTAAGATCATTGGTGTTAATGTCAATAACTATAAAATAGGCTAAATAAATTATCCTGGCCATTAAAATTAATGCAAAAACCATGACTGTCATGTATTCAGCATTTAGTATGACGTCATTATATAGACTGACTTTCTCTCAGCACCCCCAACACTGATTGACTTCCAGTGTCCATGTTTACAAGTGTGTCATTCTGATTCTGTAAGAGGCCATTTACTATTATATATCTCCCCTTGTGGTCTGTGTGTACATAAGATAGCTTAAATGCTGTATTCTTAGAAATGAAGATGGTTACAGCTCTATGAAATTATTTTAAATGTTAATAAATTATTCAAAAGGCAGGAACATGTGTTGCAATAATGTGTTAATGTTGTCAGTAAAAAGTCCTTACCTTTCCTTCCAGAGTTTCCACATATTCTCATTGAACAAACAATGTAATGATGTAAAAACAACAACAAAAGGGAGAATCATGTTCATATATGACCTTGAAACAACAAAAACAATGAATATTCCTGTTTGCTGGCTTGGCTGGCTGTTTGTGCTTGGCTGTCCTCTCTCCCTTTGCTCTCGAACAGCAGGAAGTCCCACATGTTCAGTCCTGGACTTCAGTGTCACATGATTCGCTGCAGATACTGACTGCATGATCAGCTGAACCTGGTCCAGACAGAAGAGAGGCGGAGACCTGCAGCTCCAGGGCTTTACATGCATGCTTTTTATGCACGCATATACTATCTCTGTCCTATTTGTGTGATATGAGTGCCATCCTGTCCACAGCATATATTCCTAAAAGAGAAGGGAAATAAAACAAACCCATGTATCACACTATCCTCCAGACTCTTGATAAGTCAGGTTCATTAATCAGTTTTAGGACTGTGAAGACAACAAAGTTGGCTGGTGGCAGAGTTGAAGGATGGTGATACGGGTGATGTTTGGCATTTATTAGTCTTCCTGTCTGCCTGCTGTGCTGCAGTTTGACCTTAATCAGCAGTTACCCTTGTTAGCCGTCACCTGCTGCTCTGCTGTCTGGCCAGATTAGACACTTCTAGGACTGCATACATCTGTGCAAGTCTTCTCTCAACGAGTGCTTTTCTAAGGAGTAATCCACTTAGACATGAGTGGGTGTTTGTTATGTGGCGGTGTTTATTTATAGTGGGTGGGCACAATATCGTGAACCCCTCCACTGTATGTTGCCACTTCTAAGGCGGTGCATGAATAATAAGAATATAAAACAATCACATACAAAGCAACTTAAAATTTCTGCTGAGGTGAGTCAACACATCTCAGACACATTGTGTGCTTCCCAAAGCCGGTGTTTGTTGCGGGGGTATTGATTTATGTTTTATTATATTGTGTAGTTTTTGTGTTGTTGTATCCACCTTCTCATTTTACACACCCACTCTTATGTTACAACTACCTGGCTTTCTTCTGCCAGACCCACAAGATATCTGAACATCAGATTCACAGTGAATGATACAGGGATCAGAGTTATACAGTAACCAGCCTCATATAATATCTATTGCATCTGTAGACACCAAACAGTCAACATTGAGTCAACTGAAATAAATACAAGTTGGTAAATCCTTTATTTAAACAGGCTGTCTATTTGAGATCAAAGTCTCTATTTTTGTAATACATATTTCATTTGATAGTGACAGTAAAGATACAGACATGAAAATAGCAGAGAGAAAAGTAACAAAGGCCCAAAACTGGATTTGAACCAGGGATATTGCAGTAATGGGTCTTAACCACTAGGACACCCCAGAGAGCTGCACCTCTTTACATATAAAGCACAAAATCATACAGAACAAAAAAACACACAACATCCGAGTTAGTTTCACATTACATTAAAGAAAAAGATTACAGGTTTGTAAAAAGTACTAAATGTATAACCGGTTTGAACATGTGGTGCAGCTAGAGTTTAAAAAGTCTTGTGACCTGACCTCATACAACATTATATCAATATAACAATAACTTATTGATAACAATTCCACAGTTCAGTTGCAATGGGAGTCAAGCAGGACCATGGCAGGAGGCACCACCAGGATCCATGAGAACCTGTGAGACGAGAAAGCACCAGAACTCCGGGGAAGAAGTGAAGTTAGTAACATGCATTAATGGGACATGAATGAGTGCAGAAAGAGAGAGAGAGGTAGAAAGGAGCTCCGTGCACCATGGGAAATCCCCCGATAATCTAGGCCTATAGCAGCATAACTAAGGGATGGTTCAGGACTCACCTGATCCAGCCCTAACTATAAGCTTTATCAAAGAGGAACGTCTTAAGCCTACTCTTAAATGTGGTGAGGGTGTCTGCCTCCCGAACCACAACTGGAAGCTGGTTCCACAGGAGAGGAGCTTGGTAGCTGAAGGCTCTGGCTCCTGTTCTACTTTTAGAGACTATAGGAACCACAAGTAGCCCTGCTATCAGAGAGCGCAGTGTTCTAGTTGTTTAATAGGGTACTATGAGCTCTTTAAGATATGAAGGGGCCTGACCATGAAAAGCTTTGTAATAATAAGAATAAGAATAAGAATAAGAATAAGAATGCTTTTGTGTGATGTTGTGAATTATATGTATATGCTGACAAAGAGTTGAACTGAGACAATTTAATTGGATATAAAATGTATTGTTAAACCCTTCTGTAAACTGGCAGTCAGCCAGTGGCTCCATTGGCTCTTGTCCAACTTATCACACTTGAGATTGTGCATTTATCCTTACATGGATGGGAGGTGGGTGAAAGTCTGTTTGGAGTCAGATTTCTGCCTCTTGGTGGATCCCAGCATCCACACGTTCCAAGAATATTTAGGAGTCCTAAATGTCACTTAGGTCCAGATGAAATACTGTACATTTTAATGAGGGTGTTAAACAGCATTGGGGGGCATAAACATTTACAGACATTATTCATTATATTTGTTGGTTTAGCCATAGCTCTTTGGACTATATATTTCTGGTGCAGACTAGGTGTTTTTTAAGGTTACCTTAAAACATGTGTAAGTTCAGCTTAATTACCTGCCTAGTCAGCAAATTAGGACTGCAGCTTTTTTCTAAAGCTGCAGCAAATGAGCAAACCCAAGTCTTTCCATCCAATTTATACATAGTAACAAATGTTTCAGATAAATATTCTTTCCTTTCTGTCAATAATTGGAATTAAGCCACAACCACCATCCAAAAGAGAAATGTCACACTGACGGCTGCAGCTGTGAAGGGTAAATCCACACTGAGTCACTTGCAGAGGGTTAAGAAACTTATGCCGTTCTGCTCTATCTGGGTTGCACACACTTTAATCAGTGAGGTCAACAGTTGTTTTAGTTTTAACAGCAGCCGGTAAATGTTTATAGATAAAGATGATTTGATTTCTGAGAAGGGCTGAGACAACACATTTAATTTGTATTAAATAACACAGAGGGGAGTGTACATGTATGTTGAACATAGCACTGATTTATATTTATGGTGAGTACAGTATGTTCCTAATATGATCCTCATGCTTCATGGAGCCCAACATGGTTCAACTACAGTACATAATGTATATATATATATATATATACACAAGAAAATGCTTTGACAACCAGACATATCATATGTTTTTTATTCTATTTTTAGTAAAAGTGTGTCATGTGTTGCTATACCTGAAAGAGCGTAATAAGTGCATTAGTACATTTGTATTTTATGTTGATATTATTATGGCTTATATTAAGTTTGGTTCTCTGCATGCATCTATTGTTGTTTTTGTATTATTATTTCTGTACTTTGCACATATGCAATAAACTTCATACTGTTGATGTGTGTGTAAAATATTGACAAAGGAATGTGTGTGCATTGCACATTCCTTTGTCAATATTTTACACATTCCTGCACAAACCTGTACAGCTCTTTCCTTTTAAGAAACAGATATATTGTTCATATTTTTAATAATATTGACACATACAATGCTTCTATTTTTAATTTATGCTCCTTGAATTTTGCAATACTTGCCCTTTGTCTTTTAATTTTCTCTTAATGTGTTTATTGTTATGCACTAAATACCAAGGCAAATTCCTTATTTGAATTAGGTTTATTGGCTACTTGGCAACTTGGCAATAAACCTGATTCCGACTCTTCAGCTGTCACATCCTCCAGGGCATGTAATTTTCAGCTTGGCTGCACCTTTCTTCTCATTCTGAAAGTCCATTATTGTATATCAAGCTCTAAATGAAAGCATTTGGACAGTCATATCATGCTGCAGGAATGCAGACACAGTTCCACCCATGCTTATCTCATGAAACAAGCCCTGCCTGTTGGGTGGTATGGAAGGAGGTCTGACATGCAAAAGAAAAAAGTAAAAGAGATGATTTTTCAGCTTTAAAATGAGAGCCCATGGGTTAACCATAAAAGGAGGAGAAATATATAATATACATACAAATATGAAATCAGTAATAAATAAAAGAAAAAAACTATATTGAATCAATAATACATTCCTGATATAGCTGTTACAAACAGACATTTCTTACTAGATGTTGCATGATATTGATGATAAAGTAAAGTAAGTACAGCAAAGATTTAATTTGTGTTAAAAGTTCAAGCAAAAATTCAGGTTAGTGGCAGAACTGTCTTTAATGGTTCGAGTAAAGTTTGTTGTCACAAGTATTAAATACAATATAAACATCGTGTTAGAGTTTTCTCCAAAAGAACAGAAAACCATAAAACATCTAATATTGCAATATGCCAATGAAGTAAATCATTGATCCTTCAGATAAAATATATTTAATAAAAAAATAGACTAAAACCCTAATGATATCAATCATTGTCGTAAAAACACATGACACACCAGAATAAGCAGTGAAGCAGCACAGCCTCAATTACAGTCTATGGCTGTCCTCTCATTTATAATTTAAGGCGCCTCAAATCCAGATTGATGACCGCAGGCCCAAGGAAGAGCTTGTGATTGGTCAGGCGAACAACACTCGCACCTGCGCTGTATTCTCCCTCAATATTGTCCAACTTCTGCGCTTTTTGCAAGAAATTTGTCATTGGATTTGATACTTACGCATAGAAAACATCATCTATGTGAAAAATATACGTCCAACTCGCTGCCCAAACGGTAAACGTTGCCTTAACTGTCGCGCCCTATATCCTGTGTCACCGGGGGCTTCTCACACAGGAAAGTAGTCCCGGTTAGTGAGGGGAATAAAAACTGTCGCCACAGCAGAATCAGTGGCGCCTTCGTCCTTGCAAAGTTTACCCAGTTGGTGAGTAACAGCAAGTAGATGAAACCATATGACAAAGAGTGGAGAGCAGATTGTGTACTAGTTTTAACTGAATTTTTTAATTTCCTAGCATGTTTTTTTTTAAGTAATTTCAACCTCTGAACAAACTTTTTCTTCAAAAGTCTTTATATCACTTATTGATATAATATTTAAATTTATGTGATAGAAATTCTGCATTGATGTTTTTATTTAATATATATTTAAAGTATAGAAATATACAGAATCTGAAGTTACTGTTGGTTTACACTTCCTCTATGCACACTGTACTAAGGTAAAGTTCCATATAGCTCTCTAACTTTATGTATTTTATTTATTTATCTGATCCTGTTGTCATACCATATTGCTGCTCTGCTTCTTGTGCAGCT